GTGATCCTTTAAGTAGAACCCTAAACCCTAAACCCTCTAGATCCCTTTAAGGAACCCCTATAGATCCCTTTAAGAAGCCCTTTTTCCCATGATCCTTTAAGTAAGGCAGTGTGACTTAGCTGTCTGCTGCCAAGGCTTGGGGAGAATACCGAGGGAACACTACGGGGACCATTGCTACGACTTGTACATAACTCTAAGCCCTAAACCTGAAACTCTGAACCCTAAACCCTAAACCCGAAACTCTAAACCCTAAACTCAAACAAAACCTTATGATCCCCCTGTATACCAGGCTTGGGAAGCCGAAGACATGTGATGGTTCAATTTTTGGAGGGTCTCCTAGTAATCGAGGATGTTCCCTTGTCGAATTCGAAAAAATCAAAGACTCCTGCCTTAAAACATCGCCTCCCAGCAGAAGAACAATAGGATTGAATTTGATTTCCATGCTGTCGGAGGTTGGAGGAGGCATGCTATTCAGGTGTTTCCTACTCAGTAAGTCAGTACTCATTACATAAACGGGCACCCCAGAATACACTGGCAAATAATCGTAAGGTGCCCAACATACACACACACACACAAACACCAAAACCGTCCTTAGAGGATCGGACTTAGTAAGTGGGGATATTTAATAAGGTAACTATACTTACAAGTACTGATAACCCCAATTAAGGCACTTATAACCCTACTGACTATGTCCCATGATCCTCCAAGTGTGCCGGGCATCTGCGCCCATTGGGTGAAGCTTGGGCTTTTCTTTTTTCATGGCTCAAGTCTGAGGTCTTCCTACTTGTCGGGTATCATGGGCAACTAAAGGTTAGCCTTTTTGGTCATATAGTGATCATACAGGGACTATACTACCCAAAAAAATCAAGGTTGCATGCTCGAAAACTTGGTCTTCTAAGGCTGGGGCAGAAACAGGCTCAAGGGTTCAGGGTTTAGAGTAACACTAAACCCTAAATGGCTGGGCTCAAAGGATTCAAAGCCTCTGGGTGCTTGGTGCCGCAGGTGTATACGGACGATAAGCTACAGGAATCGTTTCTTGCAATGATTGATCCAAGCTTCAGTACTACGCTTGTGGATTTCGGCCTGAGACAACACAGCACCTATCGGGGAGTTGTCAGATGGGCCTCCCCTGTCAGCACGCTACTTACGGCGCAGGGCTTATGTAGGGACTCGGGTTTAGGATTTGCTATAGGGATTGGGCTTTAGGGCTCCGGATGGTCATGCTCACGGCGACCTCCTATCCATGTCCGGGCAAAGCAGCGCCGCGGACCATTGGTGCAGCTGCACAGGAGCGGTTGGCACGGCAAGCGCGACATCAGCTGCGAGTCGGACACTGCGGCGCTTTTACCAGTTGTGTTGCGACATTTGCTTTGTACTGGTGATATTCAAGACCATGGTAGTAGTGGTAGTGGTAGTGCTAGTGGTAGTGGTAGTGGTAGTGGTAGCGGTAGCGGTAGCGGTAGCGGTAGCGGTAGCGGTAGTGGTAGGTAGTGGGTAGTGGGTAGTGGGTCGTGGGTTGTGGTAGTGGTAGTGGTGGTGGTAGCTGCAACAATCGTGGTGCCGTCGCTCTGCTTTGGGAGATGCTGGTTGAGGTCGCGCAGATTGCAAACCTAAGGCTCTAAGGACTTACCTTGGAAGGCTGTTGAGCCCAAAGACCATACCACATATGGGTGGTTGTCAAAATTGCGGTCCCCTTTGGGGTCCTTAATATACTACGGCACCGATTAGTTAGGGTACCCAAGAAGACGGGACCCTAATTTTGACAGCCACCCGTAGGTTTTTTGAGGGGGCTACTTTGAGCCCGAGGTTAGGCGGAGTCCTCATTCTGCAACTTGTATGTTATGTAAGAATTCCTGGACTGAGAGGTCCCTGTAGGGTTTAGGCTGGGCATCTTCTATTCACGATGCAACCGTTTAGTGTCCATATTTTTTGGGGAAGGGGATCCAAAATTTCGAGAAACCCCCACCCCTAAACCCTGACCCCAAAAGATCCCGTAAAGGAACCCTTTGTAGCACCGTGACTAAAGGAACCTTTGGGACCCTGAACCCCAGAGCTAGGTACGAAATGTGGCCTTGGAGGAGGTGCCGGCTCGATCTGGGAGTCTCCGACTATAGGGGTAGCCCAGAGGCCCCAAAGTAGTTCCTTTTCGGGTTTACCCTATAGGATTCTACAAAATGAACCCCAACAGGGAACTACTGCAAACAATTTTTTATAGGATTCTACAAAATGAACCCCAAAAGGGAACTACTGCAAACAATTTTTTATAGGATTCTACAAAACGAACCCCAAAAGGGAACTACTGTGGGGCCTTCGGGTAAGGTAAAGCACAAACACAAGGATCCACAACGCGACGCATCAAAGCAGAAACTAAAGCCAACGTGTCCTAAGTACCTACATGGGGGGAATACTTACCCAAAGCATAATGGTAACTCCTGCTAAAGAAACTCTACTTTCTACTGTATTTCTATAGAGGTACTTAGGACCGTGTGGGGAAGCCAACGAATTAAACCCTAATTCGGCAACCAATCAAGAAATCAAACCGGTTGCACCCGTCCTATGGGGGCCTTCGCAGCTTCAGCAGGTGGAGTAGGGCTTTGGAGCCTACTACAGTAGTTCCCTATTGAAACGCACGTCATATCTAACTAGGAGGCAACTGCATGCCCAGCAGGTGTGCAAAACAGATTTACTGCAGATTCGCCCAACCACGCTGCCATGCGGTATGGGACAAAGAAGAAGAGTCCTAAACCCTAACCCACTAAACCCTTAATCACATGGTTAGGATCTTCGACATCGGCCCTAAACCCTTCCAGCCCGTATATCATGAACCTCGTGCCAGGAACATAAGCCCTAAACCCGTTAATGAATCCTGAATCCCTGTGGACCACTTGAAACTGCTTGTCCATTACTTTGGCGGGAACTGAAAGTTAACCTCTGGGAGTATTTCGGAGTTACTTACATAGGGATCATAGTACCCCACAAAGGTTACAGATTACCTACTCTACCACTACATAAAACAACCCTACCCTAAACTCTAAACCCTAAACACTAGACCCTAGGCGCTAGACCCAAGGCCCTAAACCCTGCTTCCGAAACCCTGCATCCCCAAAGCTCCGTCGATGCGGTATTCCTCGAAGCCCTGTGTATGGGAAGCAAGGCAGTCTATCGCTTTGTTTCAAGTTTTTCAGGCTCCAGGGTTCCTCTACTAGGCCCAAGAGTAGCCTAGGAATAAAAAGGGGGTCTAAAGGGGCTTATAAGGGAACCTGAACCCCAAAAAAGGGAATAAGGGCCTACTCTAGGTCCTAGAAGGGATGTTTAGGGTTCAGGAGGCTCCTGGGTTACTTTACTTAGTTGCTGAGTTCATAAGCCCCCAAAAGTGTACCCTTTCAGGTTTAAAGTGGGTAGTATTCTCCCAAAAAGTGTAAAGTGTATCCACTCAGCTACTGAGTTTATGGCATTTCACATCAGTTCCTAAAAAGGGGACAGCATCGGGCTTTCGTGGCTGAGGGTTTAGGATTCCTATTAAACCCTAAACCCTAAACCCCTATGACACATTTCACAAGGGTTCCTTAAAGGTGCTGAAGTCGGTTTTCGGGGCTCAGGGTCTTACCGCCCAGACCTTCCAAAATCCCTTAATTAAGGAACATACCTTAATTAATTCATATAAGGAATTCTATTATAATTTAAGGTATATTCCTTCATTAAGGGATTTTGGAAGGTCTGGGCGGGTCCACGTCCCCTTAGCACTCCAACTTTTGCCCGCTCGCGCGTGCATAATGCATGGAATAAGTGTCGGTTTCCTCACATCAAATCTTCCCCCTTCTCCATGAGCGCAAGCTCTAACCCAACTTGGCCTTGGATGCAAATCAAGTTCTGGTGTTGACAGGATGCGAACCTCAATCCTAAACCCTCAACCCATAGAGCCCTAAACCCTAATGCCCTCAACCCCTTTAGAACACTCAAGTCTATACATCCTTAAGGTCTGGAAGCCTGAAGCCAGAAACCCAAGACCGAAACAGCCTAAACCTTTAAATCAAGTCCCGACGGATGGTCCATACAAGGCAGCCGTAAGTATTGCCGTATGCATCTGTGTATACATGTGGACACGCAGGGTTTGAAGGATTGTTCATGATTGTTCGAAACCCTTCCTCCGGAGCCGACTGTCACACCGCCAAGGGCACACAAACAACAAATCGCGACAGTTCGCCGGCGGTTCTTCTGTGGGGTAAGGTTTAATTAAGATACGGTTTAGTCCCTGAAGTTAGGGATAGCGTTTCGTGGTTATACTGTAAGTATACTTAAGAACCTACTGCACAAGGGTTTCCAAATGAGGACCCCATTGCTCTCTGATTCAGGACGTGCGTTGACGATCAACGGCCGCAGTGACTAGTTTGCAATGTTTACCTTAACCCGAAATAACCTACCTTTTTAAGGACTTATATGTAAAGAAATCATCACTTGGAGGCCCTGTTGACTTAGTAAGTCTACTTAGTATCCCCTAGAAACCCTATTATAATCCCCATAACCCACCTTACTAACCCTACTTACTAAGTCAAAAGGGCCTCCAAGCATAAGGAAACCCAAAAAGGTAGGTTATTCAGGGTTAAGGTAAGGATCTGACATGTTCAGTTTACGAATCGAAGTAAAAGTTGCTTCTTCCGTGTCCTGAACCCCAAGGGTCCAAAGGACCCAATAATACGGTACTCGGTTTTAGGATAGTAGTTATGTAGGTTCGGATTTTGGAGAGTATATAGTTATTGGGCACTTGGACTCGGGGGAACCTCACTGCGAAACCTGTGCAGACCGGAAGTATACGGCGCGCCGGTTGCACGCAGCTGTTTTCAAGAAGGACGTCTCTATGCCTGCTGGTTGACGCGTAAGGACTTAGGAGTTGACCTGGCAAAGCAGCAAACACTCATCAAAAACATTTAGGGTCCAATCATTAACAGTTTATTCAGATTTAACAGATTTCAAGACCAGCTGCCACCAACAGCGGGATCAGGTCATTCGCACCAGAAGCACAGCTCGTCGCAGAATCGACCACTGAGAGTATCGCCGGTCTCAATGTAGCCTGACGATTGCGATGTCAGATTTCTAAACCATAATGTAGGGGCCTTAATAAGTAGAATAGGCTTTCTGGTGCCCATTGTACTATAATGATAATAAGAAACCACTAGAATCGTACTATTGATTAAGGCCCCTATAGCAAACCCCTTTTACCCTAAACCTCTGAAGCCTTTATGTTGCTTTATGTGAGCGCTTGTGGTTTTGGGATTTTAAAGTTCGGCTTTGGGCGCGGGTTAAGGTGTCAGAGGAGAGGGTCTCTTGAAAGGCATTGGGGCTTAGGGAGTAGGGTGTGGGGTTTAGGGTTTCGGGGTTCAGGGTTGCTGCTTTCGGGGATTAGGGTTTCGTGGTTCCGGGCTTTAACTTGCAAGGACTTGGGGTGTCAGGGCGTGAATGCGGCTGAGGGATGAAGATCCTCGTTTCCAGGGGTCTAGTGTGATGTTGCAAGTATTGTTGAAAGATCGGTAGTCACAGGCAATTAGGGTTTGGGGGTATATTAGACTATAACAATAAGGAACCCCCACAATAATATTGACAATTATTTAGGGCCCTATAGTATAGGGCTTTGTAATCTTTGCAGCTCTAATATGAGGGTTTAGGGACACGGGTCTGGGCTGAGGTTAGGAAATCGGAATGAGGGTTCTAGTTGCGAACAGCTAGATACCAACTGTTACAACCCGTGCTATCGGGGATTCAAAGGTTCTCGTAATGGTCCTTTCTAATTAGTTGCCCTGGAGAGGCCGCCGCATAGTAACATAATATAGTGGCCTTACTAAGTAAAATTAAGGTTTTGGGGTATCTTATACTATAGCTATAATAAGGACCCCCCCAAACAAAAATAGTATTGGTAATTATGTAGGCCCCTAAATTAGCCACCTTATTCCAACAACAAGTAAACCCTTGTAGAGCTGTTGCCAAGCCCCTGAACCCTAGCAAATGGGAGCTCGAAGGTAGCCAACAGGCCTTTCGTACACTCCTCCACGCAGTACTTGTCGCTGGTGAGGTAGGTCGAGTTCGTGCACTCTATGCCTCGAACATTCATGGTCTTCCGAGTGTCGAGGTGTTTTTTCGAGCGTTAGCGTTGAGGCTTCCATCTTGAAAAACCCAGAAGCCCATGATTCAGAAGTAGACTTGCCACACGGATCATGAATCGCGTGCAAGGATGTTCGAGGTATACTGAAGGGTTAAAGGGGATTTGGCTGGGATGTTCCCGGTGTAGCTTTCAAGGGTTTCGGGCTGCGAGTAGGCTACAGGGTTCGGGGTTTTGGCCAGGCGCTGGCACCTTCTAGCCGATGCTTAGCGGTGATGTGACCATAGCCAAACCCCAAGCCCTGGCCCCAACCGATATCACAAACCATCCGTGTAGAATGTAGATGCTATATTAGACCATGCCGCCATGCACTCATCATTCCTGCTTCCACCATCCCGCGACGGTACTGCATGTATCGGCAACTCGAACTACGTCCAAAAGACTTCAAAAGCCTGTGCTTCAAGGTTCATGTGTAGGTTTGAACATGTCTAGAAGTGAAGTGAAGTAACTCCAGATACAAGTATGTATGTGCAGCTGAATCAAGATACCTCTGACCCTGGTTATCAGAATTCGTGATGTTCATAGAAGCCAGATGTTGCCCAAAAGCAACACACACACACATTGACAAGCCTCGGAGACATGAACAAGCTACTCACGCTGTAAAGCCTAAACACTTGCATCCGGAATGCCCTAAACCCTGAAACCTCAAACCCTGTAATAATGACCTAAACCCCCTTCATATTGAACCAAAGAACTCCTGCTGCTCAGAAAGAAAAGGCCTGACTAACTGGAATAGGGTATTGCGATCACACACAGTAGTACCAAACTGGGGAACGGACAGTTCTCCAACGCATCGCAAAGTGCGCAGTCTTTGGAGCACTCTTGACACGTGTTGCCTCAGCACATTCGTCGGAGGTCGGTTGGAGCCGAGGTCCTTTCAGAAAACTTTGCTATACTTCGGTTCGTCGAAGGAACCTTCTATGTATGTAACTGGCGGACATTTTGGGTTCCTTCGAGCCCGATGCATGAGCAATGAAAACGCTGCATGTTGAAACACTCGAAAGATGCCCCGAATCAGCCATGCACCTGCGTCCGAAAACACTTGAAACAAACCATGAAGCTCAGCTTCATCCTGCAATTCACCCAGTAGTCTTTTCTGGTCGAGCACTTACCTATCAGCCTGGACTCTACACGCTACCTATAGTCTCCATTGTAGTTCCTTTTTGGGGTTACCCTATAGGATCCTAATTGTATATTTGGTTAAACCAAAAAAAAGGAACTACAATGGAGACTATGGGTATACTGGTACTTATTAGCAACAGCTTCTGACTTGCTCCCCCAAGAACAAGGTCTACGCCACACTTCACATCTACAAGAACAGGCATGCAACATCAGTGTAGAGCAACTCGCACTCATGCTAGATTTCCGCCAGAAGAAGCCCAAAACCGTCGAACCTCAAAAAGCAAAAACACTACATGAATCACTCTGAGAGGGCCGTGGTTTCTCGAAAGTTGCGGGCTGGGGTTTAGGGTTTAGGGTTGTTCTAAGGATTTAGGAAACAGGGGTGCTGGTTCGTTTAGGGCTTCAAGTAGGAGTGGATCTGCACATTTGCATACTAGTCATTGGGGACCTAATTACCGTCTAACACCAGAGCAGCATGTTTATTGGTCATGGTACACAGGAATGGAGAAGCATTGTGGTCATCCGTAATAGTCTGGAACCTGCATACGAAAACAACATCACCGGCAGCAGCACCAGCTGAAGCGGCGCGTTTACTAAAACACAGATCCACATACCTGCAAAAGCAAATCTCACAGTGCAAAAACGAAACATAGCAACACTCAGAAAAGCTTTCAGAAAGCGGCTGACCGTAGGTACCCACAATGCTCTGATGAAATTAAAGTTCTGTCCAAAGTGCCGAGAATTTGCTCACCCTGGCTGTAGTAGCCAGGTGGGCATGTCTCCGCGCAGTCCTCCGAAAAAGAGAGGTTTCATGTCGAGGTCAGCTAGCCGCGAACCTTTTACAATGATCCCATGGCGCTTCCAAGCTCATGGCCTTTGATGTGTCCTTCCGTGCGACATCGCAGTACTGTACTAGCCGTCTCTCCTGGTTACGCTACACGACCCAGGTGAGTGGTTGTCAAAATTATAGTCCCTTTGTGGGTACCCTAAACAATAGGTGCCGTATGATGTTAAGGACCCAGAAGGGAACCCTAATTTTGACAACCACCCAGGCGCATGATTCTAGTGTAGCCGTTTTCTTTCCAACGCTCATTTCGGATCGATTCTGGGAGCCCTCGAAAACAGGATCGCTTTGCTACTGGCTACTATCCCTAGGGATCTAAGCACTGATAAATTATGGCTTTTGGGCCCAAAGACCATAATATGTACGGCTTATGGGCTATTTTGATCCCCAGGGTACCACCGTTACCACCACGACTACTACTACACCTTAGTTGCTGAGTTCATAAGCCCCAAGAAGTGTAAAGTGTATCCAATCATCTACTGAGACACTAAACCGTAAACACGACGACGACCACCCTAAACCCTCAGCCCTAAACCCTAAACCCCTAGACCTTTAAACCCTGAGCCCTAAACCCTAAAGCCTAGTTCCCTAAACCCTAAACCCTAAAACCCTAAACCCAGAAGCAGAGCCCGCCTGCTCAGCCGTCAGGAAGGTGCTGTTTTTGCACTCCAGACACCTTGGCCGAGGTTTTTCAGGATCAGATATCGGGTTTTCGGCCACACTTCTCACCGAAGCCAAAGCCCTACAGATAAACTTTAGCCCTAAAATGTCAAACCTCAAACCCTAGACCCTCGAAGGCTAAACCCTAAGCCGGGCTGCTTTGTTCAGCTTTCCTACTGCTAGGGTCAGGTTGTGGTCGGTCCAGCTGCTCCGAGACATGGATCATGGATCTTGGAGGTCGAGGGTTTCGGGCTCTAGTGTTTAGGGGTTTAGGGGTTTAGGGGTTTAGGGTTTAGGGGTTTAGGGTTTAGGGGTTTAGGGTTTAGGGGTTTAGGGGTTTAGGGTTTAGGGGTTTAGGGTTCAGCAGCTCTGACTTTGAAGATTTCACGTCAAGCTTGTTTTAGTCAAGCTATCTTCAAGAAGAAACCCCACCCGCCCAGAGAATCCCCTCACATTAGAATTAAAAGTTTTATTTCTTTTGGCATGAATTATTAAATAATAATTTACATACAACTCCAAGAATTTTCATACGGTTCGTGTTTGTTATAGCAGCCACAGCCGTGGAGTTGATTTCATGTCCTAAATGTTTTTACATTGGCCTTTGTCTACTGCTATGCATCGACTGTAGCACTGTAGCAGGACGATATTAAAACCCTAGTTCCCAAACCCTGGCCCTAAACCCTAATGCCCAAACCCTAGCCCTAAACCCTAGGGCCCAAACCCTAGGCCCTAAACCCTAGTGCCCAAACCCTAGGCCCTAAACCCTAGTGCCCAAACCCTAGGCCCTAAGCTTTAGGGCCCAAACCCTATAGGCCCTAAACCCTACGGCCCAAACCCCAGGCCCTAAACCCTAGGCCCTGAACGCTACAGCCTAAACCCTAAGGCCCAAAAGGCCCTAAACCCTGGGTCCAAAGCCCTAGGCCCTAAACCCTAGCGCCCAAACCCTAGGCCCTAAACCCTAACGCCCAAACCCTAGGCCCTAAACCCTAGGGCCTAAACCCTAGTGCCCAAACCCTAGGCCCTAAACCCTACGGCCCAAACCCCAGGCCCTAAACCCTAGGCCCTAAACGCTACAGCCTAAACCCTAAGGCCCACACCCTAGGGCCTAAACCCTCTAGGCCCTAAACCCTAGCGCCCAAACCCTAGGCCCTAAACCCTAGCGCCCAAACCCTAGGCCCTAAACCCTAGGGCCTAAACCCTAGGCCCTAAACCCTAGGGAAAAAAGTCCAAAGCCACGAATTTTGATCCAAAGCCACGAGTTTTGATCCAAAGCCACGAGTTTTGATCCAAAGCCACGAAGTCATTAGGGTTTAAATTACTATAGGTAGAGAGGTTTGGGGGTATAGGGTTTAGGGGTTTAGGGTTTAGGGGTTTAGGGTTTAGGGGTTTAGGGTTTAGGGGTTTAGGGTTTAGGGTTTAGGGTTTAGGGTTTAGGGGTTTAGGGGTTTAGGGTGTAGGGGTTTAGGGTTTAGGGGTTTAGGGTTTAGGGTTTCGGGGTTTTAGGGGTTTCGGGGTTTTAGGGTTTTAGGTAACGGCTGAGGGTTTAGAGTCTGGGGTTTAAGTTTTGGGTGGTAGTAATGGAAGCCCCAAAACCCTCGACCAGTCCCTGGCGTCTAGAACCTTGAAGCCCTAAATCGTCCACACGATACATGAAGGAACCTTAATGTTTTTAGCTCCTCATAAAATTCCGCCTCCTTATAGAACCCCTATAGAACTCCTTAGAGGAACCTTCAAAGGGAACGCATAGTAGTAGTAGTAGTAGTAGTAGTAGTAGTAGTAGTAGTAGTAGTAGTAGTAGTAGTAGTAGTAGTAGTAGTAGTAGTAGTAGCAGTAGCAGTAGCAGTAGCAGTAGCAGTAGTAGTAGTAGTAGTAGTAGTAGTAGTAGTAGCAGCAGTAGTAGTAGTAGTCGTCGTCGTCGTAGTCGACATACTGCTACTACTACCCGCCACGAGAACTTCATGAGGCTTAAGGCTTAAGGCTTAGGGCATAGGGTTTAGGGCTTAAGGCTTAGGGTTTAGGGCTTAGGGCTTAGCCTGACCCGACATGTGAGAGACAGCCAAGGAGCTCAGTGGAGGAGACGCACTGATGGCAGTTTCCTCAGATGGGTGGTTGTCAAAATTATGGTCCCTTTATGGGTACCCTAATTATTAGGTGCATTATTATATTCGGGACCCAAAAAGGGACCCCAATTTTGACAACCACCCAGATCCCCTTTAAGGGTTTGGGGGGGTTTGAGGGGTAGGGTTTAGGGCTTCTTTTGTGGATTTATAGAGGGATTGAAGGGTTAGGGTTTAGGGCTTACATAACAAGGATTTAGGGGTTTAAGGATTAGGGTTTAGGGCTTACCTTTGGATTTAGGGGCTTAAAAGTCAGGGTTTATAGGGCTTATATACGGATTTAGGGGTTTGAAGCTTTAGGGGTTTAAAGGAGGGTCTTAGAGGTTTACGGGTCAGGGTTTAAGTTTGTGGTTAGGGTTCTACTTGGAGGCCCTGTTGACTAAGTCTACTTAGTATCCCCTAGAAACCCTATTATAATCCCCATAAGCCACCTTACTAACCCTACTTACTAAGTCAAAAGGGCCTCCAAGTAGGGGTTTAAGTTGGGGCTTGGGACTTAGGGTTCCCAACGGCTTCCTGAAAGGATTGTTTGTTCCCCCCTTAACCCTAAACCCTACTTGGAGGATCACGGGACTTAGTAAGTAAGGTTATAAGTACCTTAATTGGGGTTACTAGTAGTTATAAGTATAGGTGCCTTATTTATAACCCACTTACTAAGTCCCATGATCCTTCAAGTAAACCCAACAAGGGTCTTGGGGTTTTGGGGCTCAGGGTTTGCTCGCCTTCGGACTCATGGGGTACCTGAAGCAGGCATGTCTTTAGGCTTTAGGGTTTCGGGTTTGTCTATCTTCTTGGGTTCTCCTGGTGATCAGCCATAAGACTGAACTTCTGGACACGCTACACGAAAGCAGGCTTGCCTTGACACCTAAACAGTGAGCGACCAACGATGGGCAGTGTTCAGAGATGTTCTTGAACCCCAAACCCTAAACCCTTACCTTAACCCTGAAGAACCTACCTATTCAAGGACTTTTATACGGAAATCCTAATAAGGAACCCAAAAAAGGCCGGTTCTTTAGGGTCCAAGTACACCCTAAACGTGTCGTTCCCTGGGACTGAGGCCACTTGGTCATCGCCATACTCGACCTGAGTGGAAGGTGTTGTCCACCTCACGGGCCCTCCCGTCCTGTTGCGAAGTCCTCAATGACCCCGTTTGCACGGTGCCATAAGACAACTGGGCCAACCACTGCGACCCGATCACGTACGTTGAGTTGAGGAGCGCCCAGGATTGGGTGGTTACAGCTGCCCTGTACGCCCCATTGGCCCGAGATGCCCGACGGCACTTGTAGCCGTCTAGGGCGCCTAGGCCGGATACCGACCAATCCATGCCGTTCACGTCGGACGAGCGAAGTCGCCCGTCTCCCAACGTCCGCAAATGCTCCAGTCCCAGTTGGGGCCAGAACTTGTCCAATGAACCCAAAATCCCTAATCCCTAAACCCCACACACCTAGAGTCTGGACATTCAGGGTTGTTGGTTCGATAGTGTAACTGCAGCCGTAGCGACCCCGAACCTCCTACGTACCACTTAAAGATACTTAAAGTATCGGCATGGGTAGTTGACGCCCCGACATTGTTAGGCGATTACCTACTTGTCGGGTATCCTGGGGAACTAAAGGCTAAGTAACAATTTGGCAGTATATCACAGAACCCTTTTAGAATTTACAAATTTACAGTATTCTATACTTACTCTACTACTAGTCAAAGTATCGGACTTTTGGCTGTTGGTTCTTAGGGTTCCTCGGATTCGGGGGCTTGGAAGTTTCAGGATTTAGGGCTCAGAGCTTGGGTTTAGGGTTCAAGGTTTAGTGCCTATGGTTTACCTTAACCCTGACAGACCCTACCATTTTAAGGGTTTATATAAGGAAATCATAATAAGAATCCGAAAAAGGTAGGTTATTCAGGGTTAAGGTAGGGATCCGGAGGGATTTATGGTTCAGAGCTTGGAGTTCATGGCTCAAGGCTTCAGGATGAAGGCTTGTAGCTTGGCAGGTTTAGGGTTTTGGTTTAGGGTTTAGGGTTTAGGGTTTAGGGTTTTGGTTTAGGGTTTAGGGTTTAGGGTTTAGGGTTTCTGTAGCAACAACCACCATCAACCCCAAAAAGTCTGAGCCCGACCTAAATCCCCAAAGAAGCTTGCACCGCAAATTTCAGACCCTGCACCTCTGAAGAGCCAAACCTGCACCTGCAAACCCGATATACACCTAAGCCCCAAACCTCTGAACCCTCTAAATCCTGGAACCCCGAATTTTTTTTGCATCTACAGTTGAACCCTCTGCAGAAGCCCTAAACCCTAAACCCCTTTTCTTAGTTGCTGAGTTCATAAGCCCCCAAAACGTGTACACTTTCAGTTCTATACAGGGTAATATTATTCCAAAAAGCGTGAAGTGTATCCACTCAGCTGCTGAGTATTGGCCCAGCGGCGCTCACAGACCTGACAGGTGCGCCCCACATCTCGGATGCCCTCATGGAAGAAGCCCACGGGACACTCGCCTCCCGGTTTGGGTTTTAGGGACTTTAAGGTTTAGGGTCTTTAGAGTTTAGGGTTTAGGGACTTTAGGGTTTAGGGTTTGGGGATTAGGGTTTGGGGGTTAAGGGTTTAGGGGCTTCAGGGTTTAGGGTCTGGGGTTTAGGGCTTAGGGTTTAAAGTTGGTTGCTGTGTTTCATCAACACCTTGGGTTTTGTTACAAAGCCGTAGAGGTCTGGGCTTTCAGGGTCTGAGATCCAGGGGATCGATTCAAGCAGCGTTTAAGCAGCATAGCCGTTCTGTGAACAATTGCAAAGGGGGTTCGCAAGGGTTATAGGTAGCCCTAAGGGTCCAAAGGACTAGTTATGTCGCTCAATATCTAGGAGAGTATATGATTAATAGGTACTTGGACCCTTAGGGTAGGAGCTTGGATCACTTAAAGGATCATGGGACTTACTAAGTGGGGTTATAAATAAGGCAGCTATACTTACAACTACTTCTAATCCGAATTAAAGCAGTTATAACCCGTTTTACTAAGTCCCATGATCCTCCAAGCAGGGGACATGGGAAGCATGGTATACCGCAGGCTGCAGAGCCTGCACTCGAAAATCTAAGCCTTCCATAAGCTTACTTCACACGTTGGTTCCTCTGACCGCGTAGACACCCTATAAGCCCTCAAGCGGTTTAGGGTTTAGGGTTCAGGTTCGGAGAATTACGTCTTAGCTGTTTCGGGATCTTTGCAGCCGGTAAAAAATCAGGGACCCTGACGTCGACCTTCAATTTAGATCGTGAACCCTAAACCCAATGCCCCAAACCAGAGACCAGAGATGCGGCCTTTGCATTGATGCAGCGCCGTGAGGTAGGTGGAGTTCTTGCACTCAGTACCTCGGAAGTATACTGAACTTAGAACCCTAGCAAAAATTACAAGTTTTTAGCTGTTTCTTAGGGTTTATAATAACAAAAATTTACAAATGATAATTTTAGCTGTTTCTTAGGGATTATAATTTATAATAACAAAAAATTAAAAACTACGTCTAAGTACCCCCAAGGGATGCACATTTAGGGTGAAGGGCAGTAGATGGTATTAGGGCTTATCCCCAACCCCTAACGTAGGAACCTGATGAAGATACCCTGGGCCTATAACCCCAAAATAGTAGGGTTCAAATAAGGAACCCGAATAAAGGGAAGTAGGGATGGGAGCTGCTCGAGAACCCATGTCCGTTTTAGGGGAGCTACTGTCTCCAGCTTAAAGGCTGCCGACTTCACCTGGAGAGGGTTAGGGTTTAGGGTTTAGGGGATCTGGGGGCTACTTAAAGGATCATGGGACTTGGTAAGTAAGGGTTCCTTCAAAGGGCTCCTTAAAGGGATCTATAGGGCTCCTTGAGGGGATCTGTAGGGGTTCCTTAAGGGGATCTATAGGGTTTAGGGTTTAGGAGGACTACTTAAAGGATCATGGGACTTAGTAACTGGGGCTATAAATAAGGTAACTCTACTTATAAGTATTTGCAACCCCAATTAAGGCACTTATAACCCTACTTACTAAGTCCCATGATCCTCCAAAGAGGTCTTGGGTGCTGCCCCCCATACAGTAACAGTTTTTCATAGGGCTACTTTGAAGGTCCTAATATATCTCTAGTATGTATAGTATCCAACAGTCACTGCGTAGGGGGAGTACACAATGCAGGTCTGTTTATGACATCTGCGATAAACTGGAGAATCTCAGTTCTTAAAACGACTGCAAAAGGATACCTTTCTGAGTATCATTAAAAACCTGAGCTCGAAAACCTAAACCCTACGTAAAACCCTAACCTCCTAGACCCACTTGGGGCTTTTCTCTGCAGGAGTCCCTAAGCCCTAAACCAACTCTGGTAACCCTAGACCCCCAAACCTCAAACCCCTAAACCCTATAGTAGGAATTGGGCATCTGCTAACCCTAACCCCTAAACCCCAAACCCTGTAGTAGGAATCCGGTCTAATTTGAAGACTCTAAACCCTAAGCCCTACTACTAAACCCTCAACCCCTAAACCCTAAACCTCAAACCCTGTAGTAGGAATCGGGTCTGATTTAGAGACTCTAAACCGCCCTGAGCCCTACTACTAGACCCTAAACCCCTAACCCCAAAGAGACCCTACTCTGTCAAAAAGCCTGCATCCTGTAGTCACCGCAGAGGCGCTTGGAACTTGCGGCTGTAGTTAGCGGGTTTCGACTTGTGCAGGGTTTAGGATTTAGGGGCCTAGGGTTTTGGGGGTTTAGGGTTTAGGGGCTTAGGGTTTAGAGTTTAGGAGTTGGGGGTTTAGAGGTTTTGGGTTGGGGGCTGGGTGGTGTAAGGTTCTTAGGTAGTTGTGTACGGACGAATCAAGCCGCTTTGTTAAGACTTCACAAAACTTGAACTAAATTGCCAACACTTCAACTTGAAAGCAGTAACTGGCTTGTACATCAAGACGAGCTAACTTCTCGAACTACTCGTCAAAATAAGAAATTCTTTCAGCCCCGTTACATCTCATTCGACGCATCATAATTGAAGTTTATAGGGGCTTTATCTAATTGCAACAGGGCTTTTTAGTATAAGTTATCGTTAAACTTAAGGAATCAGGTTGTATCTAGTCCGACCTCCACCTGGATCCCAATGAACCTACCCGTTTAGGGATCCTTATCATAATCTCCTTCTAGGGATCCGTAAAACAAGTCTGTTGTTTGGAGTGTAGGAATACTATGTCCTATACCCTAGACCCTAAACTCTAAACCCTGTATAAACCCTATGTTCTATGCCCTAAACCCTAAACTACCATGTTGGAGCCGGGGTGCAGTGCGCTGGGCCTTCGCAAAGGTTGCAGGTCTCCGGGCACTGCATGCACAGCCTGCCGACTTCACCTGGGAAGATAAGAATCAAAGGGTTTAGGGTTTAGGGTTCCTTTACAGGGATCTTTAAGGGTACCTTTAAGGGGCTCCTTTACCACAGCCTGCCGACTTCACCTGGCTTAAAGGGTTTGGGGACTAAGCTTTGTTTTAAAGTGCAATGCCTTAAAAGGGCTCCTTAAAGGGATCTATAGGGCTCCTTAAGGGATGTATAGGGTTCCTTAAGGGGATCTATCGGGTTTAGGGTTTAGGGTTCTACTTCACCTGGTAAGATAAGAACCAAAGGGGAAAAGGAGGGACCCTTAATGGAGACCCCTACCCTATAATGGGCTATATAATGGGTATTTAATAGCTATATTAAGGGTACGTACGTAAGGGTCCTTCCTTTTACCCTTGGAAAGAAGACGTAAGGGGATTGATAAGTATATGGTTTTATTCGAATCTGGTTCTAATGGCGGTTAAGGGGTTTGGGGACTACTTTAGGGGATAGGGTCCAGGGTTCATGGATTCACGGTTGCTTGCTTGTTGAATCTTGAACCTGTAGCACGGCTGACTAAACCCCTAAACCCTAAACCCCCTAAACCCTAAACCCCCTAAACCCCTAAACCCTAAACCCCTATAGCCTGAACCCCGTAAACCCAACCCTAACCCAGAGGAGACCGAAATCAAGAAGCAGGGAGCCCTCATTCCAAGGGTCAAAGGAGGGACCCTTAATAAGGATCCCTAGGTATATTACCCTTAATATAGCTATTATATACCCATTATCTAGACCTAAGAGCAACCCAGGAATAAAAAGGGTACCCTTTTTTGTTTAAAGGGGCTTATAAGAGAACCTGAACCCTACAAAAAGGGAATAAGGGCTCACTCCAGGTCCTAGTTATAAAGCCTATTACAGGGTAGGGGTCCCCATTAAGGGTCCCTCCTTTTCCCCTTTGACTCATGGAGCCTCGACTCTAAGTGTGCGCCAATGCTTTGGAGTCTGTCTATACATTGGGTGGCTGTCAAAATGACGGTTTAGGGTTTAGGGTTTAAGGTTTAGGGTTTAGGGTTTAGGGTACCCTAAATTATAGCTGCCGTATTATAATAGGGACCCAAAAAGGCACCACAATTTTGACCACCACCCACATAGTACCTACTTTTGGCTACTGGGAAGCTTAGGGAGAGACTGGTGTCGCTGGCTGCAGTGGTTTTACAAGTAATGCGAGTACACGACTTGACAGTGTTTCACACGCGCCCGCGGCCTTGTATGACACACTGTCGACATGCAGCTCTACTTGAAGGATCATGGTACTTAGGAAGCAAATGTAAAAACTACCTTGATTGTGGTTGGCAGTAATTGTAAGCATCGTTACCGCATGACTTTGCTTACTAAGTCCCCAGATCCCGCAAGTAGACCCTATACATCCCCCCTAAACCCCTGGACCCTAAACCTTAAACCCCCACACCTAAAGGTGAGTTTCCGAAAATAGGGGACCCTTATCTAGTACCCGAAATAATGGGATCCTTATTTTAAGGATCCCAGAATAAGGTCCGCTAATTTTCGGAAACTCCCATATAATCTCTTATAGTAGCCCTTATAGTAACCCTTATAGTAGCCCTTATAGTAACCCTTCAAAGGAACCCTAAGGTACCCCGAATTTCCGGAAACTCTAAACTCTAAACTCTTTATAGCACCCTTATAGATCCCTCTAAGGATCCCTTTAAGGATCTCTTTAAAGGTACCCCTAATTTTCGGAAACTCCTAAAACTTGGAGGCCCTTTTGACTTAGTAAGTCTACTTAGTATCCCCTAGAAACCCCATTACAATCCCCATAACCCACCTTACTAACCCTACTTACTAAGTCAAAAGGGCCTCCAAGTAAGAAGCCCTAAACCCTATAGATCCCTTTAAGGAACCCTTATAGATCCCTTTTAATTTAGGACTCCTTTTAAAGGAACCCCTACTTACTAAGTCAAAGGGCCTCCTAAAACAGGCCCCATCCAAGCTGGCAGCCAAGGGACCTGCGCCCTCCTCGTAGTAGCCGCCGGGGCATTCCTCGACACTTATCAGGGTTTAGGGTTTAGGGTTTAGGACTTAGTAAGTAGGTAGTAAGTATATAGACTTATAAGTACCCTAAAAGTGACCCTAATTGGGGTTATGGTACTTATAAATAAGGCAACTATACCTATAACTACTTGGAGGCCCTTTTGACTTAGTAAGTAGGGTTAGTAAGGTGGGTTATGGGGATTATAATAGGGTTTCTAGGGGATACTCAGTAGACTTACTAAGTCAACAGGGCCTCCAAGTAGGGTTTAGGGCTTAGGGCTTGGGGGTCCAGGGCTAGGGTTTAGGGCTTTAGGGTTTAGGGGTCACCAGTCCCCGGGTGAAGGCTTTTAGTGCTCCATTCGGATTGGGGGGGGGGGGGGGGGGGGGGGGCGTTTATGCTCGTATGCTCGAACATGCTTTAGGGCAGAGGTGTGTGCCGAAGAGCACCAAAAGGTATCGACCATGAGGAGCGTCATAGTCGTCATCGACACCACGACCTTCACCATATTCATGCTGGTGCTGTTGATGATGGTACTGAATACGCAAACTGCGATGATACCGTTAACGGCAACGATGGCCAGGTGATCAGGGTGATGACGATTACGACGACGATGATCACAATCCTCTCCTTCTGCATGATAGCCATCATCGCCTTAAGCGGTAGCATCGCAATCGTCATCGTGATCATCATAATCGCAGGCGATCACCATCAACATCATCACAATAACTCATGATCATCAACGTCATCACCATGAAAAATCCTTCACCATCATGATCATCATGATCACCATCATCAGCGCCACAACCGCCAATGTCATCCATACTACCATGGCCAGAACCGTCATAGCATACATGTATTTCGCCGCTGCCGAAATAATCATAATAGTGACCTGCTCACACTAGCGCTGGTCATCATCTTATTCAGAAACACAGTCAGAATCATGGGGCATAGATTGGCAATCCTTTACTACCAGGCTACCATCATCTGCAGCAACACCGAGGAACGGAATGTAGCATAGTGGATAGCGACACGACACACCAAAGATATGTCCGCACACATCTACAACCCGAGAGCCTAAACCTACAGCTACAATACCTCTTATGGATCCGTGAAATAGTAAGTACATATTTAAACATCGATCCCTTATAAAGCCCTTATAGATCCCTTATGAAGCCCTCATAGAATCCTTAAAGGAACCCCACTGCCTAAAGCCATCCTAAAGCCTAAACCGGACAGCCTCGGCGCACCAATGGAAGTGCGTGAGATACCGCGAGGACTTGCATTCCTGGCACTGGTCCCACCAACTGCACCTGTGCTTAGGCTTTAGGCTTTGGGGTGCAGCGTTTACGGTTTCAGGGTCAAGGTTTAGGGTGTAGGTCTTCGATTAAGCTCTCTTGGCAAGGGTTTCGGGTTTGGGCTTCTGGGGTTAAGGTTTGGATAAGAGCCATAAATTTGCTCTGGTTGCCGCCACGTTTTTTATAGAAGGATCAAGGTTTGGTTTCGGTTCGTTGCTAAGGCTTACAGTTGTTTCGACGGTTTAAGCTGTGAGGGCTTCGGGTTCAGTTTTAGTTCCGAAACTAGGGGACCCTAATTCAGTACCCTAAATGGTAGGATCCTTATTATAAGGACCCCAAAAAAGTACCCCTAATTTTCAGAAACTCCCATTTAAACTCTTAGAGTAGCCCTTATAGTAACCCTTATAGTACCCTTATAGTAACCCTTTAAGGGAACCCTAATCTTCAGGTGCTTTAAGGGCTTAGGGTCCAGAGCAGGGGTCCCAGGCCTCTGTGACCCCGGGCACCTTTGAGCAACTTCTGTGCTGATATGTGGCTTCTGTTAGTTTGGGATATCTTATCGTTCCTTTAAGGGGTTGCTATAAGGGTACAAAGGGTTCTATGAATGGTTTAGGGTTTAGAGTTAGAGTTTCCGAAAATTGGGGATACCTTATTTTGGGGTCCTTATGATTGAAATCTTTGTTCAGGCCTTCTGAAACGTTTCAAGACACTGCCAAGCTCTACATGCTTTCACAGTAAGGGACTCCTCTATCAGGGTCCATACGGATTTTCGCAAGGAAACTCAACCACTCGACCCTGAACCGTTGCCAAAACTCACCGGCTTGCCTAAACCCCTTAATCTAGGGGCCGTAATTATGATACCAGGGTTGGGCGGTATCTTACACTATGGTAATTCTAAGTGGGCCCGTAGCTAACCTTCAACCCCAAGCCCCAAAACCCGAAACGCTAGACCGCAGACCCAAGACCCAAAACCCTAAGCAATAAATCCTAAACTTCCTAAACCCCACCATTCGCCAAGGCACTTGGTACAGTTCTCCGAGCAGTGCCTGCTCAGATTTCACGCAACGCGGTTCCGGGGTTCAAAAGCTCAGGGTTCGGGCTCTAGAGTTGAATATAGGGGCCTGAATAATTAGAACAGGGTGTTGGGGCCCATGATACTGTAATTATAATAAGAAACCCCCAACATAGTATCGGTAACTATTTAGGTCCTGCAGTAGGCGTTTTGGTCAAGCATCAGAAAAAACGAAATAGGGGGAGAAGATGCTGCAAGCATGCTGTACCGATTTTGAGCCGGTTCTGTGAATTATATACTATTCAGACGGAGCCGGGATTCTGGCTGGCATGCTGAACACCAAGACGAAGCGTATCAATCCTGAACATCGGGGTAAATGTCAAGACCTCGAGTGTACAATACCGACAGAGCGCTAACCGTATCCTAAAGCACTGACTGTGAGTGACACACACGCGTACAAACACAGATACCCATTTTCAAAAACCTGTTGGGAGCCCAACCGAACTCATGTGGCGCATACCGGAGCCTGAAAGAACAAAAACTCAAAACCGAGGACTAGACAGCCATGAACCTCCAAACCCGTATACAGGAAACCATTTATTTCAATCAGCAAATGGACCCGTAAAGCAAAATAAACCAACGAAGCCGCAAAACTTTGAACCCGTTTCTCAGGACATGAGTCCTGACGCCCAAACCCTAAACCCTAAACCCTAAACCCCCTATGCCCGACAACTCGAAACCTAAGTCGAAAACCCTGAATCACTTAACATATCCGTCCTTGGAGCCGAAAGGTTCATGCCATTCTACCTGGAGGCCCTTTTGACTTAGTAAGTAGGGTTAGTAAGGTGGGATATGGGGATTATAATAGGGTTTCTAGGGGATACTAAGTAGACTTGCTAAGTCAACAGGGCCTCCAAGTAATATCTACATACATTCAAAGCCCTAAACTCCAAACTCTAGACCTAAAGACCTCAAGTAATCTTGGAAGCCCAGGTGCTGGCAAACTCCGCCGACGCCGCCCTCGCCGGGCAGTTGGAAGAAGCCGTCGGGGCCTTGCTTCGCTTGAGATGGGGTTTAGGGTTTAGGGTTTTCAGGGCTTATAGGCCCTAAACCCTAAACCCTAAACCCTAAACAGGGTTTAGAACTTTTAGGGTTGAAAGGGTTTAGGGCTTTTAGGGTTTAGGGTTTAGGGCTCCAGGGTTTATAGGGTTTAGGGCTTTTAGGGTTTAGGGCTGTTTAGGGCTCTTAGGGTTTATAGGGTTTAGGGTTTATAGGGTTTAGGGTTAGTAGGGTTTAGATAGGGTTTATAGGGTTTGGGGGCCTTCCGGCTTTGCTTTGGGGTTGCGGACTTTGTTTGCTTTGGGTATTAAGCGAACTTAAGGCTTGGGTTTTCTAGGGCATGGGATTTAGGTCTTAAGGCTAAAGGTTTTGAGGACTTAGGTCTCAAGGCTTAGGGCTTTGCTAGGCTAAGGATTTGGCCTTAATGCTGAGGGTTTTGGTCGGCCTCTCGAGCGCAGGGTTTAGACATTCGGGGTCTACAGTTCGGGATGAGGGTCCATTTACCTTAGGCGACCGCAAGGATCAAATTAGCCTTAGAACCTGATAGATGATGGTCTTTGCACCCGCCGAGAGCACAAGAGGAAGGGTCCACGAGCTCCTAGCACCGGGCGAAAAGCACCACCAGCACCAGGTCTGAGCTGCATCACTGCATTCTTCACCGGACCAGACGAGACGGAGCGGCCAGCTAGCTCAACGACCTCGCTCCATGGCAACCAGAGGCCTAAAGGCCCCAGAGAGAGGAGGCCCTCATAGAAATAACCCGGCGACTTCGTGATGAAAGTCGTGACTCCTAGAGTTCATCGTCTGCGTCATCGTCGTTAGCATCATCATCGCAGTTACCACCGCTATCATCGCCGTTGCCAACAGTTGTCATTGGCACCATCGTTGTCATGATAGTTGTTGGTGTTGTCATCATCGTCATCACCATCGCTATAGTCGTCATTGCTGTTAGCATCTTCGGCATCGTCGCTATCTTCATCGTCACCACTGTCGTGATCTGTTGTTAGCATCGCCGTTACCATCATCCTCATCACCACCGATCTCATCAACATGTTGAGCCGTGTTTTGCCGGGGACTGGGACCTTAAATCAGGGGGGTTGGAGTCGCTGGGAGAGCCTAGGGCTGTGAGAACACTGAAGAGGGTCCTCTGGATCTCGAGCTTCTGCGAGTGAAGAGACCCAAAAGCTTAGCTGATGAGTAAGCTTAACGGGTTTCGGGGTGTAGTCTGTCAGGGTTAGAAGCATAAATATACAACTAGGATAAGGCTCGGTTGGATATTCTTTCATAGCTCCAAAAAGAACATCAGCGGTACTCATTCCAATTATTGCGACCCCCCAAGCTGTAATTGGCTGTTGTCCCTAATTCCTAGTCCTAGACCCTGAGCTCTATCCCCCACCCGCTCCAAGTCTTCAAACTTCAAGCCCAAGACCCAAAATCAAAGCTCAAGACAACATGAAGGGAACCCTCACCCTTTAATGAGGAATAGGACAGGGATCCTATTGCCAAAGACCTCATGGGAAGGGGGTCGACGTTGTCGAAATGTGGCACAGTTAACCGAAATCCTAAACAGTAAGCCTGAACCCTAAACCCTTCACAGGCCCTGCTCGGGTTTGGGGTTAAGGCGTAGGGTTTGGGGTTTAGAGTTTTAAGTTTTAAGTCTAATCTTTAAACCGTAATGCCTTTAGAGCTTCAACGCAAAAGAGGTTTTGGGAGACGCCAACAAAACGCATAATCCAAAATGCTTGGCGGACTGAAAAAGGATACCTGGATCCCTTAAATGTATACCCTTTTTGGGCTACTTAGTTTCTTATTATAGGATCCCAGCCATAAATAAAGTAAGTCATCCAATAAAACGCACTACTTTTAAGGATCTAGGTCCTATTACACGGTATTATAGGGGCCTTAATAATCAAAAAAGGGTTTTGGGGCCCGTTGTACTAGAACTACAGGAACTACAACAAGGAACCCCAAAATAGAATAGGTAATTATTAAGGCCCCTATAGTAGGTCCTATTACACGGTATAGTTCAGCGGACCTCCGTGTTAGAGCCACTCTGGGACACCGGGCAGGTTGACGCACATGTAGCATCCGGGTTAAGGAACAAGCCGTCCTCGGGTCTTTCGGGTTTGGGGTTTAGGGTTTAAGGTTTTGGTTTAGGGCTTAGGGTTTAGGGGGGGCTAAAGTTGGCTAAAGGTTTAAGGACTGGTAGGAGCTCGAGCATCAGGGCTGCATGCCCGACGTATCTTTCGGGAGTCATATTGCAGGATGTCTTTACTGTCTAGCATTAGCATGCCTAGCTTTGTTATGTAGTTTTTGTAGGTCAGAAGTCCAACGACTCCCCATCAGTGTGATGACCGTGCATGGAAGGTGTGACCATAGTTCTACCTCCATCACAGAACCTGCCCGGTTGCATGGATGATGGATGCTGCGAACTTGCTTGCAGCTTTCTGTCGGGTATGGTGATGAAAATTCTCACAGAGTGCTAAAACCAAACCCAAGACCAAACGCCGGTCTTTCCTAGACACTGGCTGCCCATTTTGGGGGAAACTCCGATATGTAGCAAAGACCGAGAAGCGTAAACTGTTAAGAAACTACACGCGAAGGAACTGTACGCATGCATGTGTATACCCAGACCTTCCAAAATCCCTTAATTAAGGAATATAACTTTAGTTCATATTAGGGATCCTATAATAATTTAAGGTATATTCCTTACTTAAAGGATTTTGGAAGGTCTGGGTACTTGCACATGGCTGCCGTAACGGATTGCTCGGTCGTGTAAGTGTAGCTGTACTTCTGCTGCATTGGATAGGAGTTATAGGAGCTGCGTGACCCTTGCTTTCTTGATCAGGCTGCTACATTCCTGGAGGGTTTAGGGTCTAGGACGTGTATCGGCCTAAAAAGGTGTTTCTACGTAGGTGTTATGGGGCCAATTGCGTGGTTACACATACTATGGAGACCTGAATAATTAGAACGGCACTTTAGGGGTATAGCCCCCAGGAAACAGATGCCCCTTTCTAAGGAATCCAAAGGAATAGAGGGCTTGCCGTTCAGGCTTTCAGTGGTAAAGAATTTCGAAGTTTAGACAGTTGTCAGGATCTTGCTGCCGTCGCTCGGAGTGTTTTTGGTCTTCTGTTTAAGGCATCAGGATCTAGCATTCTGAGAGGCGGAAGTTCCTGGTTCGTTTGGAGTTTCAGAGCTAGTATTCCATACTGGTCGAGCATCCTGGAATCCTAGGGATCTAAAGACTTAAATCTGTGATTTCGATTCCCCGCCGCCGCAATCGCGGTGCAGGTGCAGGTCGGTTGAAGGCCCTATCACCCTGGAGCCTGATCCCCTAAACCCCAAACCCCCCAAACCCTAAACCGGTAACTTCAAAATCCTCGAATCGTACATCCTCAACACTCAGTCCTTGCATTCGGTGCAGAAGCCCTTCTCCGTACCTGGATAACAGCGGGTTAGATGGGTTTGGCGATTCAGGCCTTGGGAGTCTACAGTTTAGGGTATCTTTACTTGGAGGCCCTTCTGACTGAGTAAGTGGGGTTAGTAAGGTGGGTTATGGGGATTATAATGGGGTTTCTAGGGGATACTAAGTAGACTTACTAAGTCAAAAGGGCCTCCAAGTAGGGGTTGGGTTTGAGAGCTCATAATCAGAGGACGAGAGCACTTTGCAACTAGCTTGCAACGAAACATTGAACTCTAAACCCTAAACCCTATGCCCATAAGCCCTAAACCCTACGATCTCCTTTACTTAGTTGCTGAGTGCGTAAGCCCCCAAGAATGTACACTTTCAGTTTTGTAGTGGGTAGTATTATCACAAAAAGTGTGAAGTGTGTCCACTCAGCTACAAAGTTTATCGGCGCCCAATACAGGAAGCCACAAGCAAGCGAGGTTCTGAATCCAATCATCCTGAAGAACAGCGCTCTGCAGCTCAGGGTGTTCGGTTCCTTTAAGGGTCCCTTCTAAGGGTTCCAAAAAGGGACCTATAGTTAGGGTTCCAATAAGGGCTTTGTAGAGGGAGCCTTAATAGTCAGAGTAGGATGTTGGTGTATATTATGCTATAACTGGCTATAACTATGTCAAGGAACCCCTCAAAAGAGTCTTGGTGTCTATGCTGCTCGACGCACTCGGACGATTTTGTGTCATTGCTCAAGGCGAACTCGCGAGGCACTCTGCAGCCCAAAAGCGCACAAACAAAATATGGTGCCCAAAAAGTTTCCCTGTGGATCCAAGAACCTACCGTTTTAAGGGTTAGACCCTCTAATTCGCCCTCTAATTAAGAGGTCATAACATACTATTTTGTAGTAGTTTGTAGGATTTGGGGATATACGTCCATCATAATCAGATACAGTCATCATATAAGTGTTTGGGGACTGCAAGTGGGGGAATTCAGGATTGGGATTCTGCGCTGATGGCCTGTAGGCCCTATATAGCTAGGCCCTGGAGATTGAGGTTCGGGGCTTTTGTGTCCTAAGGTGAAGGCGAAGGCGTGCTGGGTTCCAGAGAGCCCCATACCCATCTGCACTATATATATATATATATATATATATATATACACACACATACATATACATACATGCACACACACACACACACACATATATATATATATATATATATATATATATATGTGTATATATATATACATACATCGTAATCCATAATACGAAGGTTGCTGTTACTTAAGGTACAGCCTTAATTTTAGGGTGTTGCGCTTTCCGGGTTGAGGGTTTCAGGTGGGTGCAGAAGGTCCTGTTCCCAAATTCCTTAGTTCACAAACAATCGGACCCAGAAACGTGAACCGAACTGCCAGGATGTCCATTCCTAAATAAATTGTTGCAGTAGTGTAGGTAGTAGCACGTTGGCAGGAGGAGCAGGAGCGAGAAGAGCAGCAGCAGCAGCAGCAGCAGCAGCAGCAGCAGCTACAGCGGCAAAAGCAACTAAACGTAAGGGTCCATCTATATGCTTTGGCCTTTTTGTAGTCCTTCCTTCTATAGGCAATTCGGGGAGTAAAGCATTACTGTATGGGTACATGGACCCTTATACCGTAACACAAGCAAAGGCTGCTGCGCCCCCCAAGACCCACCTTCAAGATAATATAGGGGCCTTAATGATTAGATTAGTGTGTTGGGCCCCACTACAATAAATGTATAATAAGGAACCCCCACCATAATATTGGTACCCCCACCATAATATTGGTAATTTCTTAGGCCCCTATACTACTTGCCTCCATCACGGCCATTGCCAACAGTCAATATGGAAACATGGCGAACAACAGCACCTTTGCCAACACCCTCGGAGGACGTGAACTTAAACTCCCTAGAATAGAAGATTCCTAAGACGCTGGGCGCCCGAGCATTGGCTGCAGCCCTTCGTGCACGGCATACATTCCCGGTTCCAGGCATCTTCACCCATGTGATACCAGCCTTACTGTGAGTTTAAGGTTTTCCAGTTTTAGGGATGTGATACCAGCCCCACGTTGGGGTGAGTTTATGGTTAGGGGTATGACAGCAGCCTCACTTTGAGGATCTTTGGGTAACATAGGAGCCTTGAAAATTGGAGTAAGGCCTGGGGGACCTGCTACAGTATAATGTGGGGGCCTTAATAATCAGAATAGGTTTTGGGGGTACATCATACTTTATCTATAATACGGAGCCCCCCAAATACTATTGGTAATTATTTAGGCCCCTATCCTAAACCCTAAACCCTATAGATCCCATTAAGGATTAAGGATCCCTTTAAAGGAACCCCCCAAAATAGTATTGGTAATTTTTTAGGCCCCTATAGTAATGAGTTCAATAAGGAGTTGTTTCGGGATTTGGGGTTTAGGGTCCGCAGACCAGAAACTAAGTTTTGGACCCTAAACTGGGCTGGCCTTTAGAGCCTATTGAAAAATGTTAGTATATATAGGGTCCTTACAAACCCAATAAGGGAAATATTTTAAATAACCAAATGGCCTACCCAGTAAACCCGCCTTCCGCGGATTTGGGACGCTTCTGGTGCAAAAGATGGGTATCACAATGCCGGTAACAAAATAATTTCCCTCACCCGTTGCTGGATTCCTAACGCCCTTACACTACCATCGTCCAAATGTGGAACTGACCGCATCCTTCAGTCCACACACTCACACGCGCTTCGTTTGGTATGGTGTCGAGAGTCAAGAAGCAATATGTTACCTGTGGTTTCACCCAGAAGTCTCCACTAAGGTCGGAAAAAGGACCCTGTGCAATAAATAGCATCAGTGCAAACCGAGGTGCCGTCAGGACAACGAGGTTTGCACTGCTGGTCATGCAAGTAAGTGCTGTTGGCACAGATTGTGCATTGCCTGGTCGAGGATAGATTGGCACGACATCGGGTCTTCTCCTGCCTGGTTCTTAGTAGGGAATGGGGGAATGGATCCCGGTAGCCGCCCCTATATAATCCCCAACGATAGTCCCAATTACCCATTCCCCCATTCCCTACTAGGAACCAGACCCTAAAATCCTAAAGCCTAAACTCCCTATACTAAAGCCTTATAGTAACACTTAAAGGACCCCTTAAAACCAGGCAGTCTCTGAAACTCAGCAAGCAACAGCTTGGATGCAGCAGATAACCTTGTTTGGGGAATTGAGTGGAAGCCTTAGACACCTCCGCCCAGCTGAAACGGCACCTAACCACCCAAACGTGCGAGGTTGGGATGAACGAAGGGATGGAAAGATTGCAACTGTTGCACCAAAAAACGGTCCAAACAACATCACTTTGGGTTCGTCACAACGACAATCGACAATCGACTCTGATGAATAAGCTGCACTTCGTCACAATGACATTACTAGGAGGCCCTTTTGACTTAGTAAGTCTACTTAGTATCCCCTCGAAACCCGATTATAATCCCCATAACCCAGCATACTAATCCTGGTTACTAAGTCAAAAGGGCCTCCAAGTAATGTATCCGATACCTCTTGCGCCAAACGAACACAGCAGCCTGGCTCCCAGTCAGACCCTGCTGACTTGGATGAGTCCAAACTTCGCCGCCCATAGAACCAGAATGGAAAGTTCTGTTCTTATTAATCCCCTTGAGTTTTTATTATAATACAAACAAGAACAGAATCCCCTTAAGTTCTTATCATAATACAAAGAAAAACAAAATTCCTGAGAGCAGTTCAGCAAATAGTGGTCCGGCGCCACCCAAAAACCAAGGCTTGGCCGAAAAACGATCTTAACCCCCTGTCTGGTCAAATGGGAATTTCCGAAAACAGGGGACCCTGATATGGTACCCTAAATCGTAGGATCCCTATTATAGGGACCCCCCAAATAAGGTTCTGCGGAAATTCCCAAATTGCTAGCTTCAGCCCCTAGCAGTATCAAAGCCAGGCGTCGTCTCTGCCGCGCACTCCGCGCAGTTCAAGGGGCAGATGGGGCCTTCCGGGCTCCAAGTACTTCAAGGATCATGGGACTTAGTAAGTACTTGGAGGCCCTTTTGACTTAGTAAGTAGGGTTAGTAAGGTGGGTTATGGGGATTATAATAGGGCTTCTAGGGGATACTAAGTAGACTTACTAAGTCAACAGGGCCTCCAAGTAGGGTTATAAATAAGGCAACTATACTTATAACCCCAATTAAGGTACTGATAACCATACTTACTAAGTCCCATGATCCTTCAAGTAGAGTAGAAGCCAGAAAGTTGGAACATCATTATCCCCATGCCCTTACGGCAAAGTATAAGGGATCCCAGCACTAATCCTCCTACAGCCATGTTCATGGGTTGGGGCTTAACTTGCTTAGAGGTTTAGGGCATTGAGGCTCAAAGGGCTTACATAGGGGGGCCTTAATAAGTAGAATCGGGTCTATGATCATCATAAGGAACCCCCAAATTAATACAGGTAATTACTAAGGCCCCTATATAAATTCGTTTAGGGATTGTGTAGTGAAGGCTTACTGTAGGGCCCGTCCGCCCGGGATCACCTTCTGAGCTTATACTTGGCCTCATCTAAGGATTAGGTTTAGGGTTACCGGTTTAGGGGTTTGGGGAGTAGGGTTTAGGGGTCTAGGGTTCAGGATTTAGGGGTTCAGGATTTTAGGATTTAGGATATAGGGTCTAGAGGCTCATACCCTACCCCTGTTTTTGGTGTATCTGTTACATAGAAAAGTAGATACCCCAAAACAGGGTAGGGTATGAGAATACAGGTATCCACAAACTTACTTACGGTTTACAGTTTAGGGGTTCAGTGTCAGGGGTCCGCTATCCTACCTTTTGGTGGTTATAGGAATGGTATTCCCCCCAAAAGCTTCAAGCCCACCGACCCGCCTACTTCGAAGATTGATTTCGGTAAACAGGGGTCGCTAAGTCGCTAAGTCCCCCGCTTCTCTATGGCCGAGGATGGGACCCTGATTGGTTTAATGTCACATGAGACTTTCAGACACCCTGTTGATCATTTTAGGAGCCTAGCACCGGTCATTGCGCCAAGCGGCAGGTGCCACCCACTCCTTCAGAACCCGGCAGCTTGTAGTAGCCTGCTACGCGAAGTCGGGTGAGGGGAGGGTTAAGACTGTCAAGAGACACCGCTGCTGAATCCCAGAACCTGCAACTGCAACAGTCCACGCAGCAACAAATACGCTGACCTTGACCATCCGTTGCAACGTATCTTTTTTGCTTCAGGGCTTGGTAGTGCTAAGCTTAAGATACAAAGGTAGACTTCTTTTTGCAACCCGTGTCATGTCAAGTCAAGATCATGCACGTCCCTTGCATCACCATCAACCCTAAACCTGAATGCCTTATCCCAAAACCCTACACTGCCACACCCCAAACCCCAAACCAGAGTCTACTGTACTTGGAGGCCCTCTTTTGACTTAGTAAGTCTACTTAGTATCCCCTAGAAACCCTATTATAATCCCCATAACCCACCTTACTAACCCTACTTACTAAGTCGAAAGGGCCTCCAAGCAGGCTACGCAAGGCTTTGAGGCGATTTTGATCTTCGTCCCGAAATCATGACTGGCTTCTAAACCTAAGAGTAACCTAGGAATAAAAAGGGTGCCCTTTTTGGTTTAAAGGGGGTTATAAGGGAACCTAAACCCTAAAAAAGGGAATAAGGGCCTACTCCGGGTCCTAGGCTTGGGGTTTCTCCCTATCATCGGAGCTTTGCCGTCCCAAACGGCAAACCTAATTGGGGTTCGGGTTCTGAGTTTCGGGCTGTGGAATTTAAGGAACGTAAACGTGAAATTCACTACCCAAAGGGTCCTAGGAACTGCTATGGGGGATACTTCCCCAAATCATAATAGTAATTACTTGTATCGAAACCCTACAGTCTAGTATATAGCTACTTTGGACCCTTAGCAAATCTTGCAGGATATTCCTTGGTGCAAAAGACGTGAATCGACGGTCTCATCGCTGCGGCAAGATTCCCAGACCTTCCAAAATCCTTTAATTAAGGAATATACCTTAACTTATATTAGGGATCCTATTATGAATTAAGGTATATTCCTTAATTAAGGTATTTTGGAAGGTCTGGGTTCTACACGAAACAGAGCTAAAGGATCCTATATAGCGATAAGGCTAATGTGAGAAACAAGATTTCGAGGGCCGCTGGCGTCGAAGAATTCCCTACTTGTCCAGTACCTAACGGAACTAAGGGTTAACCTTTGGGGGTATATTGGGAGTATATATATATATATATATACACATGTATGTATGTATATGTAGAGGGGTTGCAACATGCCCCAAAAGGTTAAAGTTAAAGGTTACCTGCTCTACCACTGGGGCTCCTCATATCTGGATTCCTACAAGTGCCCGGGCCACTCAAACGCTTTGTAACAGGACATGAAACTCCTACCGAAAACATGCATGCTATAGGGGCCCCAATAAATGGAATAGGGTTTTCAGGGTAACTTATACCCAGCACTTACAGCATGCTGCGCGAGTGCACACTTTCAGTTTTGTAGTGGGTAAGATTATCCCAGAAAGTGTAAAAATGTCTCCACTCAGCTATTGAGGGTGTTTAGGGTTTAGTGCTTAAACCCTAAACCCTAAACCCTAGACGTTACAAAGCCCCGATGCCAACCTTCTGGGCAGTCCAACTTGCAGGAGCCGTCGGGGGCCAGGTACGTGCCCTGCTTGCACCTTGCGAAGTTTCGACAATTCCGAAGGCTCTTTACTAGCACCGACTTTTCGATTTCCGGTTTGGGGTTTAGGAGCTGCGGCTTATCCCTAAGGGTCCAAAGTAGCTATGTAGTAGAATGTGGGGTTTCTATATCAGTAATTACTATTATGATTTGGGGAAGTATCCCCCGTAGCAGTACCTAGGACCCTTTGGGAATTTCGAAGGCTCTTGACTCTTTACTAACATCGACTTTCCGATTTCGGGTTTAGGGTTTAGGTAGCTCGTAGGGGGTTTAGAAGGCTCTTCACGCTCCCCTAGCCAACTCTAGAGATTTGGATCTGTCTTGTCGCAAGAGACCAGCTCATGGAGTATAAACTGTAAACCTGGGGAAGCAGCAGTCTCATGCATTTAAGAGGCCTGTGGATTGGTGGCCGGATGGTCAGGGACCAGCCAATCCCAATTAGGAGGTTCTTGGCGTATACTACTAAATTGAAATATTGTTAGGGGTTTAACATGTCAGGCTCGGGGTTGGGTTAGGGATCCCAGGGTCTTTTCTCCCTGCCAGGCTCTAGCGATACCATGCATGGAGCTTTGCGCATAGGCGAAGCCAAAAGCCTAGCGGGTGCAGTAGTCCGGGGCTTTTCCCATCAGGTCCGCTCGCAGCTCTGGTCTTCACGGAAACTTCCGAAGATGATGGGTTGGACCTAGCCTAACCAATGAAACCCTACACACTAAACCCTAAACCCTAAACCCGACCAATGACACCCTAAAACCTAAACACTAACCCTACCAGTGAGCGGGCTTATCGCCTTGCCGGAAGAAGTTTCCTGCATAATGGTCCACGTACGGAATAGTAGTACTAGTCAGTCCGAGCCGTATATACTATACTGAACTTAGAACCCTAGCAAAACTCATAATTTTAGCTGTTGCTTAAGGATTCTAATAACCAAAAATTAAAAAACTACCCCTAAGTATAGGCAGAACCCTGACTGAAGAACTCCCTCCCCTTTATATGGATGGTTGCCGGAGTCCTGATCTGGGTTGTGCTTTAAACCCTTTGAAAATTATTTATAAATAGGTTCCCTTTAAAAGGAAATAAGGGAAATTAAAAATTATCCCAAAGCACAACCCAGTGATATTCATCAGGGCCTGTAAAGGGGTTTATCAATCAGGGGTCTAATATAGGGGCCTTAACAATTGGAATAGGGTTTCGGGGCCCATTATACTATGCTTACAACAAGGAACCCCCAAAATAGTACTGGCAATTATTAAGGCCCCTATATTAAGCCCCTAAATTGTCGAGTCAAGCTCTACGCTGACACGACCGGTCGAGCCCCGAAGCTGTGAAAGTCACTACACTACACATTATTGCTTAGGTTCGCCTCGACTGTTCAGTTTTGATAAGAGAGCATACATACAACAAAAAGATCATCCAGATACACCCTTCAGCCCCGAGACCTGCAACCTAAACCCCAGACCTTAAACCCTAACCTTACGCTCTTAAACCGCTCTTCCGCAACCTCCAAAACAACCTTAGGACTCTAGGAGAGCCTAACTCACAAACGTTAAACCTGCAATCCCAAAGCCTAAATCCCACATTATCCGAAATCCTGAACCCTTGACCCGAAATACTAAATCCAAAACCCTAAGCCCTAAACCCGAAGACAGTTCAAAAACCACCGAAACTCTGCTGAGCTCTGCACTCTGTGCAGACTTCCGGCCCGAGACAAGTGTTGCAGGAAGAGTGGCAAACCTCCCAGGCTCTTCCCCACTGTTGATGGTACAAATCCTAGGGTCCTTTAATGGGATCTATAAGGGTACAACTAAGGGGTTCCTTTAAGGGATCTATAGGTCCCAGGCTCTTCCCTATACCGGGGTTTGGGGTTCAGGCTTTTAGGGTTTAGGGTTTAGGGTTCCTTTACAGGGATCTTTAAGGGTACCTTTAAGGGGCTCCTTTAACCTAGTTTTAGGGTTTAGGGTTTAGGCTTTGGGTTTCCGTATATCGGTTTATCAAAGGGGAAAAGGAAGGACCCTTAATGGGGACCCCTACCCTATAATGGGGGCTATATAATGGGTATATAACGGCTATATTAAGGGTATATACCTAGGGGTCCTTATTAGAGGTCCCTCCTGTTACCCTTGGAGTTTAGGGTTCAGGCTTTTAGGGTCTAGGTGTGTTTAGGGTTCAGGGCTTAATTAGGCTTTATGGCCTTGATGGGATCTATAAGGGCTCTATGATAAGGGTTTAGAGGTAGTATATGGGCCCGATTCCTGTAAGGCCTCCTTCAACCCCCAACCCTTAACCCTGACCCTACTTGAAGGATCATGGGACTTAGTAAGTATGGTTATAAGTACCTTAATTGGGGTTGTAAGTATAGTTGCCTTATTTATAACCCTACTTACTAAGTCCCATGATCCTTTAAGTACGCCGCAAACCATAATCCTAAAGAGATTTCAAAGGGTTCTCTGATCGAGGTCTTATGGGGTTTAGCGAAGGGGCCTGGCTCCTTGCAGGGCTCCAATGCTTAAGGGTGGTTGGTTTTAGTTTTTTTGAGCTTGGGGGTTTAGTGGCTTTGAGTTTCGGGTCTGGGGTTGCGCGGCTTAGAGGTTTAGGGTTTTGGGTTGGGGTTCAAGGCTTCATAGTTTCGGGTCTAGGGTTGCTTTTCAAACTCAAAGGGGAAACCCTTGAGGGAGATCTTTCAATGGAGCCATGTGGTTAAAATCTGTCAAGGGACCGTTGACTCCTCATCCTAAGGCACCAAGGATTCTTATCTGATGGGAGGCCAAAAGGGGAGTTTAAGATTCTTGGGGTAGGGATTCCTTCATATGAACCCTATTATGGGAACCCTAATCCCTACTAAACCCCCATAGGCTAAAACCCCTTTTAGCCTCCTATGAAGCATTAACCCTCAACCCTAAACCCTATAGATCCCCCTTATAGCACCCTTTAAAGGAACCCTAGGAACCCCTTTTTAGCCTCCTATGATTTTCTTTCGGCCCTTTGACCCCGAGATCATTGCTATAGGATCTCTGAGGCTGAGCCTGAGGGTCCAACCGCGGCGCTACGTCCTCCCCCAAAAACCGGCTCAATTATCCCTACCTGTAGCCGAAAAGACCTACCATTTTAAGGAACTATATATATATATATAGAAACCGTAGTAAGGAACCCTAACAAGGTAGGTCTCTCCGGCTACAGGTAGGGTTTAGGGGAAAAGGGGTTTAGGAATTAGAGGCTTAGGGTTTAAGGTTTGCCCAAGAGTTGGAAGCCCCAAAGCCTCAATCCTGAAGAGCAATGTATAGGGAATCCCAGCATTATGTGGCCTTAATCCGGTTTCTGAACCCTAAACCCTAAACCCTAAATCCGGTTTCCAACTTTATGGGATTTACTGTAAAGCCCTGGCCGTCAAACCCTTATGGACTGTTAAACTTCTCCGAACCTGGGGAGAAACGCCTTGATGGAACCCTTACCCTAAGGGTCCAAGTACCCAGACCTTCCAAAATCCCTTAATTAAGGAATATACCGTAATTCATATTTGGGGTCCTATTATAACTTAAGGTATATTCCTTAATTAAGGGATTTTGGAAGGTCTGGGGTCCAAGTACCTAATAATCATATACTCTCTCGAATATGGAGCTACATAACTACTATGCTAAACCCAAGTACCGTCCTTTGGACTCTTAGAGTCATGAAATCTTCTAAGGAACCCTAATCCGACGGCACAAGGAACTCATGGCTTGGGGCTGCTGGGCCCAAAGTCCATACTAGATGAGCTTTTGGTGAGTCGTTTTGAGCTTTACCTAACAAAGGCCCCATGGTAGTTCCGTTTGGGGGCTCATATTTAGAATTCTATAAGGTAATCCCAAAAAGGAACTACCTTGGGGCCTATGGGTAGCGTCAGCTGGAAATAAGCCTAAACCCACAGAAAGCCTCGACTCTGGAAGCTGCCCATTATATATTATGTATTTATATATATATATATATATGTATCTTCAATAATGAACCACCAAAATACTACAGGTTATTGTTTAGGCCCCTACAGTTAGCCATAAATCAAGGCCGCGCCTTGCAAATACGCCCTTGATCTCCAGTGCCGCTCTTGTAGTATCCATCTGGGCACTCCTGGGTCTCTGTTTTTAAAGGGTTTAGGGTTTAGGGTTTAGGGTTTTAGCTGGACTTTGAAGTAACCAGGGAGAAAAAAGTATAGAATTTGATTTCATAAGGGTTCCTGTAAGGAACAGGTACCCAAAAAAGTATTCAAGCTATGGTGCTCCGCACCCAGGTTAGGGTTCAGGGATTTAGGGTGTATAGGGTTTAAGGTCTAAAAGGAGTTTAGGGCTTCGAGTGAGCCCAGAAACTTGGAACATGTATTTAGGAGGATTAATGCTAGGGACTTCAGGGTATGAGGATAATGATGTTCCAACGTCCTGGCTTCTACTTTAACGCCTTACCCAGAGGTCCTGGGGTAAGGCCTTAAAGTAGAAGCCAGGACGCTGGAACATCCTTAGGATGTGAAGTACCCAAATTCCTACTAAACCTGCAGCAACACAAAAAATATATAAACCCTAAACCCCAAATACCATAAAGATATTCCTGCACCTGGAACCCACAGCACCAGCGACGTCACAGTCTTAGTGATCGGTTGAGATAGAGGCATTGATACTTAGAGTAGGGTTCCTTTGAAGGGATCCTTAAAGGATTCTATAAGGGATCTATAAAAGGGTATATAGGGCATTAATAATTAGAATAGGGTTTTGGAGCCTATCCTACTATAGCTATATTAACTAACCCCGCGAAATAGTATAGGTAATAATTAAGGCTGAACAAACGTACCCCCGTAAACGGAAATTTCCTTTGGCTGGCCTCATATACCCCTCTGTGAGAGGTTTGAAACCGAGCAGTATAATCCCGAAAGCACCAGTACCTTTATAGCATATGCTTAGGCTTTTAAAGTACCTAGACAGGGATCCCTTCAAGGCCTAAGTATACACTCTATGGGGTGGATAGAGCCTTTTCGGGAATAGCAAGTTCCAAATGCGTACCAGGGGCGTGGTCGCACCAGTGCGTATGCGTAAGGTACTGGCCATTTTTACAGCCTTGGCATGTCGTCGCGTTCGTGCACCTTGGGCAGCAGGCTTTTAGTCGCGTTTTCAGAGATCCCAAGATCCTTTATTTAGGGAATATACCTTAAATTATAGGGGCCTTAATATTATGGTTTAAGGTATATTCCTTCATGAAGGGGTATTGGGATCTCTGGGTTTACAAAAATACAGTACATACATGGGGTGTTTACGCTTTGGGCTTTAACATACAGGATCCGGGAACTTCGTAGCTTCCTAGAAAAGTCCCGCGATGCTGGAGGTTTCGCTTGGCTTTGAGGTGTAGTCTTTATAGGGCTTAGGTTCTCCGGCTTAGGGTGGGTCCTTTCCTGGGATCGTTTAGGACATTGGCGAGTGAGAATGAAAGGTTTGAGGACCAGGGGTTACATGTTCATGGGAATGCAATGTAAGAAGGTTTTGGAAATCGGTTCTCTTCGGCTGTAAGGGTTTTCCGGTTCGAAAAGCTCATGCCACTTGGACATCCCCGTGCTATGCAGAAATCTGAACCATAAGGGTCGAAGCAGTCAAAACAGAACCTACTAGCTGGAGTGCTCAACTGCTGAATACCCAGCAGTAATGCCCCTACAGCTCGCGAAACAGATGACCCCCGTGCTCTCTGCAAGCTCTTAGCACGGGCTTGCAGAACTATAGTTGTGGCTCTCTGGCAAGTCACACCGTGCAATTCTGCGCGCACATCGGGCATGTGCGGCCCACCTGCATCGCAGATCATCGAAGCCCTAGACGAGGCATACTGCTTCAACACCAAGTTTTTTTATGAGCATTCATATCGGACCTCATCCACAGCGTCGGCTGTTTATAGCAAAGTGCTATTCAGGATCTAGGTACACTACCGAATTCCTCAACGCTCTTCTTCTGAATGACACATTCTGCTCGACATCGACTCTTGGCGTGGGTCGACCAGGTAGAACACTTCGATGTAAATTCATGGGGGTTGGTCCTGGCACACCCTAAATCCTGAAACCTTTGGATGCCGACAAACCGATCACAGATTCGATCGCGACTCGGGGAAGGTTATCCTGGATCCTTCTGTTACGGAAGGATTCTATAAATCCCACGATGTGAAGGGTGACCTACCCCGCTTCAATTTGAGCCTCGCCGTCGCCGTGGCGGTAGTAGCCATCGGGACAACCTGCAGAACTCTGAATCCTTGAACCCCACCTAGCTAGCGGATGATACCACGCGACTTGTTTTTTTGGGGGGCCATGTTGCATTCGTATGTACCCTCTGTGCAAAGAGAAACCACACCAGAAAATGGATGGGGTATGACCTCAAAGAGCTAAAATTTAGGAACACCCAGCTGCAAATTATCCAGTTCACAGGACAGAATCTCGGGTCGGCCACACCAACCTCTTTCCAAATACACCCCCCAAGCCTAGACCCCAAAACCTAAAAACAAAAAAACAGGACCCTCAACCACAAACCCTAAACTCTATAAACCAACACTCTACTTCCCCAACACCAAAGCCCTACAACCCTGCGGCCCCAAAACGAGGCTACCTTAAGTTACAGTAGGAGCCCCTACTATAAATTATGGTCTATTCCTCAAGTAAGGGCCATTGGAAGTCCACTCACCCGAGCAGTCCGCCAAAAGAGGTCGCAGACTTTAGGGGTACAGCTGAGAAGGTACCCATGGATACCCTAGACAGCCTAGTTATTAGGGTTTCGTACTATGATTTCCTTACATAAGTCCTTAAAGGCACAGGTCCTGTGGGGTTCGGGCAGAATCCGTGTCAACGAACGGTATGAACGAATAAGGAAAGAAGGACAGGAGGAAGCAAGGCAGTGAGGTAGGGCCGGCCAGGAACGGATGCACATTCATGTGTGCGTGTGTGTGAGCACCTTCACTTTGGTGCTTGGTGCCTCCCCAAACATGTGGAAGGTGCGGGGAAGACCATCTCCCCCTTCCATGCTTCGGCATAGAGCTGCTCGACATAGCGTCTTGTCGACCTTCTCTGTTCGTGGGTTCCCCGGAGTGGGTCCCCCTCCGTACTCTCACTGGTCTCTGACGAAGAAGATTCCCCGCTCGAAGTAGAGGGAGGCTTGGCTTTTGCAGTCTTGGGTTCTCCTACTTGAAGTCGAGGATCTCCTCCATCTGAACTTGAGGTCGCACTGCTTTTCACGGGCATCCTTGTGTGTGGCATTCCCCCCTGGCCGGAAGACGCAGCGATAGAGGTCCTGCGTTTCTTCCAGGGCGGAATATTGTAGCACTTGCAGATACGATCGCGCCGTTCATAGAGAGAGATGAGAGACAGAGAAGGAGAGAGACAGAGCGCGAGCGAGACAGGGAGAGAGAGAGAGAGAGATAGAGAGAGATAGAGAGAGAGAGAGATCTCTCAAGGCTCCTGACTACCCAGAACAAAACGCCAAAAACTCTGAACAACCAAACCCCCAAACGCTGAAGGCCTTCGTCGCACGTAGCCGACGGTGTCAGGTACTTCTTGTTGCTGCCTACAGCGGGCTGGACTCTTTAGGTTCAGCCATAGGGGCTCGCTGTAAGATTAGGATTCGGGGATGGGTTTAGTAATTAGGGATCATGGATCAGGGATTAGGGTTTGGACTTATAAGGTTTAGGGTCGAATGCAGCGTTTCATTTTGAGGGCACAATCTCGGGCTTAGGGAAGGATGTTGTCTCGGGTTTGTGGTTAGGGTATAGTTCGATAGTGCAGAGATTCTGTAAGGTTGGGCTTCAATCGCGGGCCTGTCTCGAGCCAGTTTGTGGTGGACTTGCATCCTCAAAGAGGCGGCTGCTCCAATGGCAGAAACTGTGAGTACTGTTGGTGGTGGTGCTGTTCTTCCTGTTGTTGATGATGGTGTTGATGATGCTGTTGGTATTGCTGCTGATATCATGATTGTGACTATTGCTGCGATCATTATCATCCATTACACATAGTATTGTTATTATGACAGAATGTGGTAAGCAGGACATAGGCAGTCAGCGTGGCTATGTAGTATATGCGTTGGCCAAAACGGGGGTTCCAGATGTGCACTTTGGGTTTTCTTGGTGTCAGGGGTTTTTCTAGATGGTCACAATTTGGAAACTACCCTAAACCCTAATCCCTAAGCCCTAAACCCTAATCCCCAAGCCCTAAACCCTAAATCTAACAGAACCCTACTATAAAGCTCTAGACCAACGAATCCGAAGCCTCTTAGACCCAAGACCCTAATAGAGCCCTTACAAAACACCGATAAAACCCTACAGACACCCCACGGAAGCCTTCAAGAAACAACTAACAAAAGGCCCACTGGGCCCCACGCATTCTGTGGCGTAGGTGTCGCTGATGCATCTCCTAAGTTCAGCATTGTGTTTTTTGAGGACTCTTTTCTGTCTGCCTGGTCAGCATTCGGAATTCCCAGAGGGATGAGCCTATGCAACAGAGCTGAACTGGCAAAATTATCAAAACTACAAATACGTAGCTCCATTGAGCCCTGAACCCCAAGCCCATTGCTATTGTTCCTCTTTAGTGCTACGGATTCAATGTTGCTTTGGGACTTTTGCTTGTCAGGCCTGACGGTTCAAGCGTCCCGGTTGGTCTTGGAGCCTCAGAGAGGCAAGCTAGACCCAAGAGTAACCTAGGGAAAAAAACGGTGCCTTTTTCGGTCTACAGGGTGTTGTTATAAGGGAACCTGATCCCTAAGAAAAGGAATAAGGGCTTACTCTGGGTCCTAGAGTGAGAGCCGTATGGGAATTGAAAGGGTTTCATACCGCCGGACTCATCATAATCATTGGAACAGGCTTTGAGGGCACCAAACGTAAAGCAGGGGCCTCAGTAGGCGGAAGAAGCTTTGGTGTACAGGTATACGATATACATAGGCCATGGGCATTAGATCTTATGCGCAGTTCCTAAAAATTGACACTCCCAAAACCCTAAACCCTAAACCCTACATGAGCGAAGCTGGCAGCCAAGACTCTTCATGTCCTGTGGGCAGGGAGGACCTGGGCTGTTGTTGTTCTTATTGTTGTTCTTGTTGCGGTTGCTGCGGTTGTTGCTGTTGTTGTTGTTGTTGTTGGTGGTGGTGGTGTTTAGATAGCAGCTATAGTAGCATCTTGGGCTACATTTTGTTGTGTAAGGGCTCCGTTTGCAACAGAATGAGAGCTTTTGCTTTAGGATCTTAAGGTCTAGGGTTTCAGGGTGTTTAGAAATGCACGCTGACAGAACTGTAAACAGAAAACGTCCAAGGACTGCCCAGGGACAGGTGTTGCCTATCTCCTTGATGCCGTCACGATAGGTGCCATCCGGACAGGTGTACTCGCCTCGGCGGAGCTCACTTGGAGGCCCTTTTGACTTAGTAAGTAGGGTTAGTAAGCTGGGATATGGGGATTATAATAGGGTTTCTAGGGGATACTAAGTAGACTTACTAAGTCAAAAGGGCCTTCAAGCATGATTCCAACGATGTGGCACTTGGTCCGTGAAGATGTTGGGCTTAGCGATGTAAGGATTGGGGCTTCAGTTGACAAAGCCCGAAGACCCTAAATATACTCTACCAGGCTTCTGCAGGAATTATCTTAATTGCACCGATGAGTTGGATGCAACATTATAGGGCTTGGGATGACTCGAGGTGTGTGCCTGAGGCTTGCGGGCAGTTTGGGACATAGCCTGTCTGGAAATCTCGCGCTACTGAATTTCAGTGTTCGGGGAAATACTTCAAGGTAGCAACGGTATTGACAACCTGAATGGAAAACATCCAGAATCGAGATTCCTATGTTTGGCTTGTGATGCAGGACTTTGAAAAGGATTCCCATGGTTTCTGCTGCTATGCTATGGCAAGGTTGTGGGTGGGAGCTTCAAGACATCCAGCGACTTGAGGAATAATACAGGGGACTTCAGAATTGGAATAGGGCTCCTTGAAAGGATCCTTAAATCGGTCTATAAGTTATCTATAGCGGGGTTCTATAATCTATAGGGCCGTAACAAGTAGAACAGGGCTTCGGGGCAGATTCTACTACAAATAAAATAAGGAAAACCCAGGAGAGTATTGGTAAATATTTAGGCCCCTATAGCATGGCATCAGTGGTCCACTTTCGGAGTTTGAAGCATCGGCGAACAGCCAGGCCAAACGGACCCCGACCCCCAGAGTCTAAACCTTTGAAGACCCTCCTTGTACCCTTTCCCTATGCATCTAAGGACTCATATATTAAGGCTTTTGGGCCCAAAGACCATATTATATAAGGCTTTCGGCCTATTTTGATGCCCAGGGTTTATTCGACCCTAAATACCTACTACTAGGGACCGTATACCCCTATTTCATGGTACAAGGAGGGTCCTGGTTTGTAAACCCGTATAGGGAGTCCGGGGGTGTGGCTTCGGAGATTTTGTTTCCAGAGGTTCGGACCTAATTGCTGAGCCTTTGCCTGTGCGGGGGAGCTTAGGATTCAGGGTTTAGGGTCATGTTCTTGGGTTTGGGGCTTCGGCTTGCTTTCAGAGTTTGAATGCGTAGGATTTCGGCATGTAAGGGTTCGTGTCTAGGCTGTGGGTGAGGTTTAAGGATTCGGGGTTGATCAGTGGGGGTGTCCGGAAGTAGGTTCAAGGTTTGGGCTTAATCGCACTATAACAGTGAGCCATGCGATTTGGGGCTTAGGGCTTTTGGGTGCTTGTCTGTAGGTCTGGGCATCATCAAGGCAGTTTTTTCATCGAGCCAGGCTCGCGCGCAAGTTCCAGAAATCGACAAAACCCAACCCTGCAAGAAAGCTGCTTAGGCCTTTTGGGGCTTTAAGACTTCAGGCTATGGGAGGTCTCAGACGTTATGAGGTTGTTTACTGGGTTCTTTTTTGTTAAGCGGTTTACTTTGGTCAACCATAATAACGAAACCATATTGATTACTAGATTACTACAGATCCCCGTCATGGTAACTCAAAACCCCGTTTAAGGTTCAGAGTTTTGGTAGCCAGGTGGCACTTCTCATCCGGCGTGAGGAATGTGAAGTTCTGGCACAGCGTGCACTGCTCCTGACCTTGCTCATGGCACAGCTTAGCGAATTGCGACGAACAAGACCTTAAACCGTACTTAAACCCTAAACCTGACATTAAACTCCAAGCCTCCAAGCCCTTAACCTGCCCGAAGCCCTGAAGGGACCCCAACCCCCCAAAAATATAGAGGAACTTTGCATTCTCAACTTCCTCCAGCTTAAATGTCCAGGAACGCCCCGGAACCCGAGAGGGCAAGAAGCCAACCAGTGGCAAGCCTGAACTGAGCCCTAAGCCCTCAAACCCCAAACTCAATCCGGACCCGTAAATCCTCAAACCCTATAAAGCCCTAACTATCCCAAACTCTTGCAACCCTTATCTTTCAAAGGCAACTCGTTATTTCACTCTGGGCTCGCTAGGGTAGCGAAAAAAGCTTGGCGACATGTTGACTCTACAGTGCCAAAACAGGAACCATTTGAAAGTCAATGTGTATACTAAGGTGCATCTACTCCTAACTGTAAAGCACCAGAATCCTGCGCCAGCTCCATAATAAACAGTAGAAAACGTACAGCAACTTGAGTACGTGATTCCGGCTGCTACCGCACCAAGCGACTGAGGCAGTTGAAGCACGTTGGCGGACACGCTTTGCAAAAGCGCCCGATGTCCTGCCCGTCTTGGCTGCCCTCAGGGCAGTGGGGATTCAGGTTCGGTAGCACTTGTTTTACATAAGGTTCCCGGCGGAGGTGCCAGATCTTGGGCGGGGGGGCGGGGTGGGGTCTGAGGCTTTTGCTTTTTGTTCAGAGGCTTTTATCAGACCAAACATCTTCAGTTGCGGCTAGAATAGCGTTTGAGGTATGCTAGAGGGTACACAACTGTACTCAACTTAGTAAATCAGAGGCTATGTCGGTGAACGCTTAGGAATAAAACGACTTAAGTTACTAACTGTTCAATCAGGCCTCTATAGTTTTAAATTGCTGTCCCTGAGCGAAGGGCGGCGGACACGGAGACAGAGAAGCGCACGAATTTGGTTTGTCAGAGAACTGGCGGAATGCAGCTGGGCAGCCTCGTTGAGAATGCCCTGAAACCCTAAAGCCCTAAAACCTCAAACCCCAGACTGTAAACCCTAAACCCGTAAAACAGTAAACCCGTAAAACCGTAAACCCTTAAAACCTGAACCCCTAAACCCCGAAACCGCAGCCGCCCTAAGGAAGGCTTGGGTTGGGGCAACTAGACGTGTTCTAAACCTCATGCGCAAATTCCTCCTGTAAGCCCTACCTGGACAACCTAAGTATGTGGAGTCATGGCTATAAGTTGGGTTATTATCTTACCTACTTTTACACCCTAAACCCTACGCTTTCAGCGTCCTCAGAGCCTTCGAAGTGGTAGCGGTCGGGGCATTTGTACTCGCAGGCGCCTCCAGGCGACGCAATGTCACCCAAAGGGTCCGAGCACCCAAAAAGATCCAAATAGCAGGGTTTTAGGTCCTTGACACTCAACTATGTGGGTACTTGGACCCTCTAAATCAGGTAACACTTACTTTCGGCTACTTGGTCTGAGGGTAAGGAATATGAAACACCAGAGAGGCCCAAGGTTTCTAGGAGATTCCGAAGACTTCCACGGAGATATCTGTGGGACAAATTAAAGTTAATTCGGGTTTAGGTTGAAGGGCAGTGAAGGGTGCGGGGCTTTATTTCTTATGGGGCCTTCCCCTATGGCTCCCAGGAACAGCCAAAAAGACTTATATAGTATGGTCTTGAAGCCTAAAACCTTTTACGAGTCCTTGGAGCCGTCTAACTGGCCTCTCGGCTAGACTAGAGAGGGCACCGGAACAGCCCCAAACCCTTCAAGCACCAAAAAACCTGAAATCTTTCGATCTCCAAGAGCATCCCCCCACAGAACCCTAAAGCACAAAAACAAATCTGCTGAAGCCACGGAGTCCGACCTGCGCCCAAACACTGCAAGCCTTGAGTCGAGACCCTGGGGCGCGAACCCCTGACCCTGAACCTTAAGTCCTCAAAAATGGTACGTTTGGAGCAGGGGTTGTGACCCTAAAAAATTGGTACATCTGTCCTTTTTAGACTTCCTTGGTTGCTCGAGGCAACCCCCAAACCCTGAACGCAGGAACTGAGTTCGGCCTGTCGGTGTGAGATACGAGGCTTCTGCGCATTCCGTGCACACATTCGCGGTCTCGCAGAGGTTGCATGGTGACGGGCACCTAAGTTCTCCGAAACTTGTCCAACCCTAAACCAGGGAGCCTTTCCCAAGCACTGAATCTACAACCCTAGGCCCTAGACAGATACGACTTTGAGCCTGAATTAAACATGAAACCCTGGCCGAATTGAACCTTAACCCCCCCCACACAGACATGCAAAAGCCTGAGCTCCAAGTAGTTTTGTGTTGCGCATTAACACTCAGCATACATACCGTAACCCCGGCGGAGGACCTGTAAATCCACGAATAACTTGTTTGCTCTGTATTAACCTAAAATAAAATTCAACGACAGCACTGAGATTCTGCGAGCGAGTGAAAGGAAACCCTACTACACTGCTGGGGAAGCCAGAGGTAGCAAGCGTTTAATGGCTTTACAGTTTACCATCCGGTGTTCAGGGTTCAACAACCTGGTCGTTTATGCCTATAATCATAGCCTATGATCTAGAATCTAGAACGAAAACTCACCAGTGTCATGAATTGGAAAGTCGGACAGTCTTGAGCTCCAGAACAAAGTTTCGGAACAAATGTGCACAGGTGCTTGGATGATGAGCCACTGTATTTGGGCCTCTTGCATAGTCCTACATACCCTTGGTATAGTTTTCATATGTGTTGCAGGTTAGAATACATACCTGTAATATCATAGATATACCACAAGGTGTGCAAGGGAAAGACATTGCACGCAAGGCCGTGCAGCACTCCAGATGCATCTAGGGTGCCTGTTGCAGCCCCCGCCGATGCTGTCGGTGCCGTTCTCATAGTATCCTAGGGTTGAGTTTCGAGTTCAGCTGTGAGATGCGATCTGTATTTTGCCGGTTTGGGGTGTAGAGCTTCTGGAAGGTTTCGACAGGCTCTGAGCCGCGGTATAGTGTGCAAAGCTGTATGACCTGCGAGTGTGACACAATGCAAGCATCTTAGAATGAATCTGAACACTCGGGAGCCTACCTTTGCAGGGTTCTGTATTAAAATGATTTCCTTATACAACTCCTTAAAATGGTATGTTCTTTGGGTTTAAGGAAGGACCTAAGTGTACTCTGCAGGGACTACAGGTTCCATTGCCGCAGGCGGAGAAGGGTGTAAGGGTGAATAGGCACCTATTTTGCAGGATCATCTGGTCCATTGAGGTACACAAGAAAAGCCGCCGCACTTGAAGTCTGACTTCCCGAACCACTTCATCAATCTCTAGGGTCTGGGGTGGCTACTTCAGCTACAACATCTTCTAGGGATACTGGCTTAGGGCTAAAACTAAACACTCATACACCCCCTGATGGTGAACCATTAGTTCTACGACGGCCCCAGATTCAAGTGCCTGTAATTATCGCAGCTTGGGACTCGGGATACCCTAAACGCGATTCCGTCCGGTGCTTTGAAGACATTCCTATCTGTTGGCTGGCCTAACAAAACACAAGGACATCCTACGAGTCTTAGAGCAAGGCGAAACGAGAACCGGTCGGTGATGCATAGGGTTTAACTTTTAGGGTTCTGTCCTGAGTCCATGGTATCGCGCTTCTGGCGAGGAAGGCTCAACGACCAGACGACGACTTTCGCTTTCAGTTTTAGGATGTTTTAGGCTTCGGCAGGATGCCCAAAAAACCGACGGACTAATACAAGGAAACTATACGAAAGCATCATTTAGAAGGGTATATTCTATAGGGTAGGGCATAGCTTTGTCAACAAACAACTTACCCAGGTTCCCCTCGATCATTCTTGACCGCCAGAAACTCTTCCGAAAAGAACACCGTTTGCGGGTAACCCAGACTCTCCAAAGCCCTTGATTGAGAAAAACATACTTTAAATTTCAATCATATTCAGGATCCTTGTAGAACTGAAGGTATATGCCCAAATAAGGGATTTCGGAAGGTCTGTGAACCTGACTCAAAAGCAGTGAAGCTCTAAAGCCTGCTCAACGAAGAGGCAAGCACGCGGGCTAACCCTCGCAGAAGAGTTATCTGTATAGGGGGCTATTGCACCCATGCGACCATAGCCCAGCATCCCAAAACTTCAATAGGCCTCGGAATACTTACCAATACTGTTCCTCAGAGTTCCGATTATAACTGAAGTACAATCTACCCCGAAACCCTGTTCCCGCCGAGAATCCATTGGGGCACTCCGATCGGCACTGATTGTATTCCGTGAGGTGCGTGAAGCCCCGGCAGACTGTGCATTCCTTCGGCTCATGGTCTAGGGTTTGACGGGGCTTTCTGACAGGAACAGGCAAAACCTCATGCCCTAGCCAATCAAAACAAGCCCATACACATGGTACCTGAAGCGATTATTCGGGGACCTCCACAGAGGATAACCCTGCAAGTCACTGCTAGTCATGTTCACCATTGTTAGTTGTACTGACAATGCAATTAACCTTACAATCGACCCACAAGTAGATTTTGGGCAGGGTGCAGTGCTCAACACTGTTCATTCCTTCTCTGGTGCCGAATCGGTTACGCGAAGAAGCTACATTGGGCTACCTTACAAGTTCACCCGAGGGCTGGAACAAGTTGGCTTCCCATAAGTGGGCAATAGCGACAAGCGTAATAGCCATGATGATACATGAAGCCTACACTAAGATACTACAAGCATCTACAAGCCATCGAAACAACGATACTAGTTTAACAACACGTTGGGCATGGATCACATCAGATTGCACAATGATCTGCAGGGTAGGTCCCTAAATCCTTGCAAGTAGCTCTCCCTGGGACGACACATTCGGACTAGCTTCGGCAATGTCGCTTTTTATAAGGGTATTTGGGCTCTCTACTTGATGGCCTTTCCAGGTCGGAGACCTACACCCCGAGGCCTTCCAAAAAACCCTAATTAAGGATACCTCAATTCATAGTAGTATCCTATTTTCACTTTTCGGTTTTTGGAAGGTCTGGGCCCTTAAACTAACAGTCGTAGAGCCCGTGGAGCTTCGCCTTAACCCTTGCAGTGACATGTCGTCATCAAGAACCCCTTGGTTGCAAGGTAATCTGGAGGTCGGAATAGGATTTTCCCGTATGTCCGTATATGCTTGTACGATGATCTCGAGCGGAACCTTACTGATTAAGATACTGTATACCCCAAAAACCCTAGTCTGAAATTACTATTGCCTCTATATAACTCAGAACGCCCCATATGGATCGCTTCTAGAACCCTTTCAAAACTCTCGCTGTATTGGGTTCTCTGGGCCCTTCTACGAAGCCCTATTGAAACCCTTAATATTGGACCCGTACGCCCCTTGCAAGGATCCCTTTTAAAAGGCCCCTGTAGTGCTGCTTTTGAAGAACCGCTTTCAAGAATTGCGGAACTCTTACTTACAGCGCGCCCAAACTAAACCCTGAAGCCCTAAACCCTGAACCCGCAAACCCTGAAGCCCTAAACCCTATAAACCCTGAACCTCTACTCCCTGAACCCGTAAACCTTGAAACTCAAAACCCTGAACCCCTAAACCCTGAAGCCGTAAACCCTAAACCCTAAACCCCTTAGAAACCCTGAACCCGCAAACCCTAAACCCGTAAACCCTGAACCCCCAAACACCCGTAAACCCTGAACCCGTAAACACTGAACCCGTAAACACTGGACCTGTAAACCCTGAACCCCCAATCCCTGCCCCCGTAAACCCTGAACCCCTAAACCCCCCTGAACCCGTAAACCCTGAACCCCTAAACACCTTATTAGAAACCCTGAACCCGTAAACCCTGAACCCCTAATCCCACCCGTAAACCCTGAACCCCTAAACACTGAACCCCTAAACACCCAAACCCTGAACCCGTAAACCCTGAACCCGTAAACCCTGCACCCGCAAACGCTGAACCCATAATCTCTGAACCCGTATACCCTGAACCCCTTAGAAACCCTGAACCCATAAACCCTGAACCCCCAAACACCCGTGAACCCTGAACCCGTAAACCCCTTATAAACCCTGAACCCGTGAACCCTGAAACCCCTAAACACCTAATCCGTGAACCCGTAAACCCTGAACCCTAAACACCCAAACCCTGAACCCGGAAACCCTGAACCCGTAAACCCTGAACCCCTAAACCCTGGACCCCTAATCCCTGAACCACTAATCCAAAAGACCCATAGGACTCGGCTCTCTGGCCCGCTCCGAGTTGCCTCGGCACTGTTGCAAGCGTGGCAGTTCTCCGGACACATGGGGCAGGTGCCGCCCACCTCGGAAACTCTCTGTTTAGGTTATTTCAAGGTGTAGTTTAAAGTTTACTTTGGAAGAATTTAGTGTGGGACTCAAGCTCTGTAGGGTTTAACGTGTAGGGTTTGGGATGTAGATAAGACAGTAGAACCTGTAGAAGCCAGAAATTGGGAACATGGCTTTAGCAGGATTAGTGCTCGGATCCCTTTACCCTAAGGGCATGAGGACAATCATGTTCCAACTTTCTGGCTTCTGCTGTATACGGGTCTAATGTTTACTTGGTGGGGTTGCTTGAAGCCTTGTAGGGGGCTGTGCTACCAGAATACATTACAAGGAGATCCCAAACGAAAATGCATTCTATCCTGTGCATACATACTTGAAGTTTCGGAACAGGTATACTGAACAACAGCCGCTGGCTTAGGGTCGCTGGATCAGGACAAGATTCCGAGACGGTTTAGTTCGGGCTTTAAAGGGCTCAGCAGACACATCTGGAACTCCTTCTCCAGGCGACGAGCCTATGAGGGTTACTTGGAAGGCGACGCTAAGCGATGCCTATAAGCAATACGATAAGGGCTGCCCTGTTGCAATTGCTCAAGGTTCCCAGCACCATCAGGCCCAAACAGGGTTTAGGGCCATGTTCAGGGTTCAGGATACGAAAATTATGAGGCTCTCCGAACCCAATGTGGCACAAGTCCTTAGCCCTGCAGCCGAGAAGCCCTCAACCCTGAGCATTACAAACCCAAAGCCCTTCAGCGCCAAGTTTCAACTTTAGGGGTTTAGGGCGCTGAAGCTTGGGAGATATGGCTCTATAGATTGTAGGATCTGTGGGTGAGTCAAGGCAGCAAATCCCTAAACTCTGAATGTGGAACCACAAACATCCACAAACAGCCAAGCTCTGAGCTACAAAGCATGAAACCAAGCCAGGCCGCCCCTCCGGTGCCGTCCAAGGCATAATGACCCTCAGGACAGGCTTCCTCGCACCAGCCGTTGGGCGTGAGGTAGAGTCCTTGGCAAACCAGAGTTTAGGGTTTAGGGGTTTAGGGGTAGGGCTTAGGGGTTTAGGGGTTCAGGGTTCAGGGTGAACTTTCTGAGGGTTTGGCGCCTGAGGGTTGCGTCAGGGTTCCATGGGGGTTTGAACGGGGTAGGGAGGGATCAGGCTCTCTTGGTTCAGGGTTGCTTCTGTGGCATGCATCTGGTTTTCAGGTTTCGAAGGTACCACGCCGCTGCTTGACCCGGATTCTTTCTGTAGGCTTTTACAGCTAAAGATTTTATGCTTAACAGCTTCATAGTTGTCATAGCGCAGGGTAGTAGGACCAAGGCGAATACGGCATGAGGATGCGAATCCGATCGACCGGAAGACCGCAACACTAATTTGCGGGGGAATGTCTACAGTCGGGACACGGGTCCGAACGTAAGATTTCGGAAAGCTTAGTTTTCGGGGCAGCGGGAAACTTATGTTTCGGGTTGAGATAGTATGCCCATGAACAACGAAGCATCTCGACCTGAAGCCCAATGTCACAGAATTCTGCACGTCAACACCCAGGTTCGTTGCAACAAGCCCCATATGGCTTCGACTCTGAATCCTCTAAACTGATGTCATCTTAAAATACACCCTGGACCAGTCGGCTTCGCTTCTGATCCATACCCGGTGTTTCCCTATCCTCCTTCAAAGCTGGAACCTTAAAACCCGAATTTCTGCACTGAACCTGTAGTAAATGCCCCAAAATCAATCACCTAGATCCCAACCCCTGCACCCTGGAACAGGTCCGACAGAACAGAGTTTTCTGAGATATTTGAGGACCCGGCCGTTGCGGCACTCGCTGCAGGTGGATGCGGTGCTGCACTGCGTGCACTCGTCGGGGCAGGTCTCACAGACTCCGCCTGAGGAGGATTTGGGGTTTTAGGATTCGTCTGGTGCAATGGTAAGATGCTAGGAGCGATAGTCGTAGCAGTAGCAGGCGTAGTAGAAGCCGAAGGGTAGTAGTAGTAGTAGTAGTAGTAGTAGTAGTAGTAGTAGTAGTAGTAGTAGTAGTAGTAGTAGTAGTAGTAGTAGTAGAAGTAGCGTAGTAGTAGTAGTAGTAGTAGTAGTAGTAGGAGTAGTAGTAGGAGTAGTAGGAGTAGTAGGAGTGGTAGCAGTAGTAGCAGCAGTAGTAGTAGTAGTAGTAGTAGTAGTAGTAGTAGTAGTAGTAGTAGTAATAGCAGTAGCAGTAGCAGTAGTAGCAGTAGTAGTAGTAGTAGTAGTCGTAGTCGTAGTCGTAGTCGTAGTCGTAGTCGTAGTCGTAGTCGTAGTAGTAGTAGTAGTAGTAGTAGTAGTAGTAGTAGTAGTAGTAGTAGCAGGAGCAGGAGTAGTAGTAGTAGTAGTAGTAGTAGTAGTAGTAGTAGTAGTAGTAGTAGCAGTAGCAGTGGTGGCGGTGGTGGTGGTGGTGGTGTGGTCGTGGCAGCAGTGGTGGCAGTAGCAGTGGCGGTTGCGGTGGCGGTGGTAGTGGTAGCGGCTGGTGGAGGAGGAGGAAGACGAGGAGCTTCCATGCACTGAAGTCTACCATAACCCTACCCCGATTGATCATCTTCTAAACACCTTCTAGAGTTGTAAGATTCCAGAGCTCCGGCGTTCTAGCCGCAGTGCCGCATGGCGGTCACTACATCGCATGCGCACTCGAGATTGAGTTTGCTGCACGATCCATGGGACACACGTAGAGACGTTCGGTTGATTCTTCCAGACGTTCTCCTGCAACAATAACCTTCTTCAACATGGCAACATCTGAAGCCCAAATACTAAACCACCAAACCGAACAGAAAAGACGACCAGCATTAATGCTAACCAACCACTAGGACTCTACCAGTGCAACTTGATGTTTGAAGACAGGAAGAACTCAAGTCAAAATCCAACCGGCCTGACCGACTAGTCCCTGACCTTACATAGTCCGCAGGCTCTCAGACGTCTAAGCCAGTAATCTCGGAACTTTGCACGAAAACATAATTTTGGGACAAGGGGTATGTCAAGTTCAGAACATGGAGGCGGGCAAAACATGTTGATGGGGATGTCATAGAAGGTAATGCTGGGATCCTTGTATAAGGACCCCCCACATGAGCACATAAGGGCGGACACTTGCACCATCTTGCACCCATAAAGTCCCGCAGGACACACGCCGAACTTCCCGAGGGCGCCGCCAACATCACGAGTCCTGTTCGGATAGTAGCCTGCAGTTTAGGGTTCAGGGCTATAGCGTTTATCAAGGGTTCGGGTTTTCATTTTGTAAGGAAAATGGGCTGATATGGGATTTACAGGCTTGCATGATTCAGGGTTGGCCTGCGGATCGGCGTTTCCTCAGCAGTAATCAGAGTTCAGTCGGACTGCCGGTGTCCGCGACTTGTTCTCCTGTACTACTTCATCACACGAACTCATAAGGGTAGTTGTCAAAATTAGGGTCCCCTTTTGGGTACCCTAAATATTAGGTGCCGTACAATAATAGGGACCCCAAAAGGGACCATAATTTTGACAGTGACGGAAAGGCTTGAACAATGGATGTAATGATCGAGGCTCTTGACGGAACACATATCCAACAGGCTCGACCACAGTATTAACTGCATACTCCTCAACATGATCCGGCCGAAAGACAGAAAATTCCTCTTCGCCAAACCTGTTGGTAGTTTCAGTTCGCGAGACCCCTATATTTGGTCAGGAGCCAACCCATTTTGAATAGGATTTGGAAATGAATACATTTTGCAACTGAGCAGCGTGTCGGGGTTATGGACATGTCGTAGCACAGTACTCTAGCTCGCTCTCTCTACCACTGCGGAGAGCAGCGCAAGACCACTTCCACTTACAAGTATGCTACCGGAAGCGTCCAGGCACCTGAAGACTTTGTATTCCAATGAGTCTGAACAAGAACAAATAGTTTCTGCATATCCCAGGGAAAAACAAAAAACTCACCCAGCAACAATCTCGATACCGTATATGCTTTGGCCCTCATTGAAGCAACTAGATTGGGACCTCTCCCAGGCCTAAGTATTCGGATCCTAAGTAGCGAGATTCTCATTAAGCAGGTGAGGTGTTCGGCTTTGGGACCATGAAGGGCCACGCTGCACTTAGAAGAGGAGCCCGTGAAGAACGAGATTCTTCAACCCGTGACGTACGCCCTGCAACCTCAACCCTACCTCGCCCTAAGCCCCTAAACCCCAGACCACGAGACAAACCCCTACATCTGAGTTCGTTTTCAGGAACTTACTTCATGCATTGCAGTAGTGAGCTCAAGCTACAGTATTTGTTCTGGATCCCTACTCTGCCGGTGTAGGTTAGGATCCTTGGCAAGAGCCCGAAAAGGCACACAACAGCCCCCTGAACCCTACACCCTGATGCTCAGAATAGCCCAGAAGCCTTGGGCCTTTAAGTATGAGGCCTTACCCCAAGGGTCCAAGTACCTAATAATCATATACTCTCCAAAATCCTAACCTACATAACTACTATCCTAAAGCAGAGTACCTAATTATTGGGTCCTTTGGACCCTTGGGGTTAGCATGAACCCCTGAACTCTAAGCCCTAAACTTCCTAAACGTGAATCCTAGCCCCAAACATCCTTGAATCTACATCTCGGATCCCCCGTAGTCCGGGAACAACATGGGCTCCGGTGTCTGCATTGGATAGGTTTGTAAGGAACCTGAGACCATAAACACACAAAGACAACAACACCGGTAGACCCAGAAATGTCTCAGAAGACCCTCAGCCCTAAAACCTAACTTCAAAAATTTAACCCTAAACATCCTCAATCCTATATGTATCCCAAGGCCCAGCCTGGGGGGCATGTTGTCTCACAGGCCTGGTAGTGTGTGAGGAAAGTCGAGAATTTGCCTCGGTGGTCCAGAAGCTAAAATGGGCTTAGGGTTTAGGGTTTCCGATGTCGTTCCAAAGGGCTCCAAATTGCAAGTATATTATCAAAGCACCCCGTAACCCTATTCTGTGCATTAAGGCCCGTACATTAGTCTAGCTGAGGCTGCAGCCTTCAGGCTGGGGAGGTTTAAGGTTTAGGGCTGTAGGGGTTGAGGGCGTAGGGTTTCAGCTTACAACTTTAAGGTTCAGAGTTTAGGTTTTAGGGTTCTAGGAAACTAGGAGATAGGGTTTTAGGGTTTAGTTTTGAGGCGCAGTGCTTTAGGGCTTAGGGATGTTTAGAGTGTACAGGTAGATGCAATAACCTGCATGTGGTCAACACCTGCTGCAAAAGGGTTCGGGACTACATGCAGGATTTAGACCTGAGGTTTGCGGCTTGCGGGTTGGAGCTTCGGGGCTTCAGGCTATAATAAACATGTGCCGAGAGGTGAATATGGGGGTACAAGCCTCAACCCTCCTAAGCCACATCGCGCTAAAGTAAGGCCAGTTGCACTCCGTGCAGTGGTCTTCCGCCTCGCACTTGTTGCACGTCGGAGGGCAGATCTGCAGACAGGAGGAGATTCAGTTGCCTTTGTGGATCCTTGGTATAAGTCTAGGTCTCTATAAGAAAGAAACAAATCATGAAGGTTTGTGTTTGGAGTCTCGATTTGGTGGGTATCTGCTGTCGATGAAGGAAATCTGGATATAGCGTGGGGTCAGGATTCGTGCAGAGTTCGCAATGATTGCATTAGGCGGACAAACATCTTGAGATAGACGGGTGTGCAGCACTTACTGTTATTGCCGTTGCCGTTCATCACCTATCCACTCGTGTAGAAATCATATCGTGAAGCGAATCAGCAGTCTGAAGCATGCAGCGTGAAACTCAAAGCTTATCCCCCACTCCACTCCCTTATCTAACCAGTGGTTTTGGGGTTCCCTTGGCTCTTTAGCTCTTATCTAATAGGGATTATCATCATCCCTGGCTCCTTAGCTCCCATAATATCAATGGTTAGTTATAGAGCGCAAGCAACCAAATCCTGAACCCCAGATCTCCTTACACCGCGGCTCTAGCATCCGCTTAACCTGACAAGCCTTGCGCCCCTAAAGTGTTCAACCCTAACTCACACACACTCTGAAAACCACTGGAGCCTCATCGTGAATCCTTGAAGCATGAATCCCATATTGCCCGACCTTGCAGACCCGGCCCAGATCGTCGACACCCTGCTCATAGTAGCCTGCGGAGCTCTTAAAACCGCTTTTGTTTTTGTTCACAGTGATTGTACTATAACAGCGGAGATCCCCGTGCAGTGGAAAACCGTACCAGAGGCATGCCAGTCGGACCAGAAGGTCGCCACCACTTCACCTACGAAAAAACCTGAATCCGAGTTCCAAGCCTGAGATACCTTCTCTGAGGAGGCCCTCAGTCGAGTGCTAGGCTAAAATCTACCCGTAGCCTAAACCCACAGAGTCTTTGGACCCTCGGGCAACCGGGGCCAACACCATCTTGACACTCCTCCTCGCACCAGTGGTAGTGAGACAGGTAAGTGGAGTTGCGGCACTCCTCGCAGGTCTGAGGACCAGCTGTGGGTTTGTCTTAGTATAGGACCCTGAATGAGAAATCTTAGGTCTTCATCACTAGGGATTTTTTCTTACGTGGATCCTCGTATGTTGGAGCTATAGGACCAGGGTTCCTTAATCATGCTCCTACATTAGGTATGCAGTAATCAGTAATTATCCTATGAAATCAAGGTTAAGCTGTTGGTTCATACAAAGTTCTCATGGTGCCCGAATAAGGTTAACTAAGGTTTAAAGGTCCCCCCACTCTACTTCAAAGTTGTGGCGAGCAGGCGTGAGCAACCATGAACCGCGAACCTAGGAGGAAAGAATAATCGAGTTTGGCAGGTCATGCTTCTGGTGCATGCTCCAGGATCTTGTACTTCGGTGTGTGAGGTTTACATTTACGCTTCAAAGCGGTGTCATGTCTAAATTTCCACAGATAAAACCAGTGACCGCACATCCCAAACCCTCAAATCACACCAACACCTCAGCCCTAAATTCCAAACCCGGCAGACACTGAACAACAAGAACAAAACAAGAACATAAGAGCCCAAACCCCAACGCCCTCTTCTCCTGGCAAACTGTAGGGCTGGTGCACAAGCTGCAGTTCTCCGCACCTTTCGTCAAGCAAGTCAAAAAGCACTCACTTCAGCAGGTCAGTTGAGAGCTTAGGGTTCAGGGTTTGCGGCATTTTTTGGGTTTGAAGTCTGTAGAATTTAGGGTGTGGGGGTTTGGGACGTGGAAAAGGGACTATGCTATGACTTACGACGTCATATGCTACCAACGGGATATATATGCCCACCCGAGCCCAAGAAAGCCCCATGAGACTCGGCAGTTGACTTCGCTCATAAGACGTTGAACAGAAGATCTCAGCCCACCTTGTTCAGGACTTTTCGAAGTCTGCTTCTTAATACGACCCGTTAGGTTCACGTGGTTCGCACAAAATGCACACCAGGGCACAGAGTGGGCAGGAGTTGCCAACGCCACCCCACACTGGCAGCTGCCAGTAGCCATCCGGGCAAATGTCACGACCTGAGCTCTGATAAATACTAGCTATAGAATAGAAACCTGAAGAATTTATGCTAGGGTTTTGGTGGTATCTAATAGTAGAGCCATTTTAAGATGCCCTAAGGCAACAAAATTACCAGTTAGTCAGGCACCTATAATACTACTGAGTCGCGAAGGAACCCAGCCAAACATCACTCCAGTGAAAAAAGATTCAAGGGAGATAGGCCTCAAGCCGAATGACTTGCATTCCAGGAGTTTAACAAAGTGAGCCAAACCACAGCAAGCAATTTGGACCGGAGCTTGCATGGGCTCCAAAACACGCCTAAAGAATACATGAACTGGAAAACCGAAACACCAAGCCTCCCTATCCCCTACCTGAAGCGCAGGAGGTCCATACAACTGACACACTGTGTGGTTTAGGAAAGAAGAGGCTACAGTATCTTGCTGAGTCGTCGGCACACGCCATCTGGGTTGAGGAACTTGTCATTCTTGCATGCCGTGCCTGGGCAAGCTGACTGAATAATGTAGGGGCCTTAGTAACTAGACTCGGGTGTCGGCATACAGTTTGGTATACTTACAAACATACTAAGGAACCCTTAGCAACGATCGGTACTTTGGTCGGGCCTATATAGTATACGAAGTCGCAGGATGCGCCAGGTTCATCTGAATCCAAGTGAAACTTCAGCACAAGCAGCAAATCCTATTCTGGTTTAGGGTTTATAGGGTCTCTAAGTTTGGGGTCTAGGGTTCGGGTGCATTGACTCCCGGTGAAACCTGACCTGCATCTACACTCGCCGCTTTCTTCCAAATCTTCAGCAATGACCAACAAGAACTCTCAAACTCTGCTAGGTTCCGAACCTACCAGTACCCCCTCCATAGTTCTTTAAGATGGAACCCCCGACCGAAAAGGGCAAAAGGATACAATCGAGAGACCTAGTCTGAGTGCCTGAGGCCGATACGCAGCCCTTATGACACTAGCGACTGTCCGTCAGGGTCCGACTTCGCGAGGATCAGGTTATAGGGTTTGGGCTACTCATGTTTTAGCTTTGTGCTCGGGAAGCTACATAAAACAAGTTCCGAAAAGGAAGAGTCCTCGTGTAGACTCGGAAGACCCCTAATGTTAAAGTGCGGCAACACCTCCGATTTGTGCGAGCATGGACCCTTAACTAGGGTAAGCTTAGATCCGGGGTTTAGGGCTTAGGGGTTTACAAATGCAGGAAACTTTTAGGCTTAAGGCTTACGGGATTGTAAGGCTTCTGGGGTATTGCAGGGCTTAGGACTTATAGCATATGAAACTCCAAACCCGCTGAGACTAACTTACAGAGGATCATGCCTCGTCTTAGATATAGGTCGTCTATTAGGGGAATGCCATACTAAAGTTCCCTTGTCTCTTGGAAGTCCACCACAAGAACAATGGCTTCTGCTACAACATACGGCTTTTTTGGGAAGACGGGGAAGGGACTGTCGTGACTCTTGTGTCTCCTATGCTTGGAGGGACTAGCGAGTTAAGGTCGAGCACGTTGCGCTAAGGGTCCATGTGCCCATACAGTATGGACCATGGCCTTGAAATGACTGAATATGCACTGACGACATTAAGGCAAAGTATATACAACATGGGCCACATACTAGAAACTTACGAATTCTAACCCTGGGTAGGTTTCTGATTGCAGCCGCAAGTACGATTCAGCTACCCCGCTCCTCCAAACTGCAAGACCCCAAACATCCGGACCTTCAGCCCTAATCGCCCGAACTTTATCTTGCAGTTTCACGGGGATCGCATATCTTCGACACTATTTTGGTGAAAGCAAACCGTACGTGCAAGAACATTCCATGGAAACTCTGCGCCTGTACCCTACGACATCATCGGGCATAACTCTTCAGCCATAACAAGTACAACATACCTAAAAGACCAAATGACCCTTGAAAATAGGGCCCTATATGGTAGCGGTCATTAAACCCGTGTAAGGTTCATCTCGTCCCTCAGGTAGAGGCCCTTAAAGTTCAGGCAGTCAATGGGAGCCACAATTCCAGGTCCGCTACTAACACCTGTAAGCCAGCCCCTGGAGCCCAAGATGAAACTGGACTGTTTAAAGTTTTTGGGGGGTTGCGCATAATATAAGCACAAAGGCGATTCAATATACACCCCGTAAATCCGAGTTGTGAAAATTAATGTCCCCTGCGCTTTCATACCATACTCAAAACCACAGTTAATGCTACCGGTAACTGGAAAAGGAAACATGGACAAGGTCCGAGGCAGGAACAAACCTCGTAGGTGTCACAGGTGTCGCAGTTGCTGGAACACGGCTGACCTTTGTGTTTTTGGGCTTAGGTTCAGCGGGTGGCTTGGGTTGGTGGTTCAGGGTTTAGGACTTTGTTGACTTCTCTTATATGGAGGATTTAGCCCTCGAGGCACTTAGCTTGAGGTAGGGCTTGGGCTTGTTTTCAGGCTCCTCGCGACCCGAGCTTGAAATTCACAGAGCCGTGCCGGCATCCCAGCCTCGACCCAGCAACCAAAAGTCTTGAAGCCAAGTGGCACGTGATGTTGATCTCGCCGACACCGAACGGATACAAGCCCGGGGGGCATGTGTATTCCTGCGGCGCCGATCTGGCATAGGGCTCAGGACCTTCATGGTGAACCTAGGCCTGCTTCCTCAACACTACAGGTTTTCTCCTCAACTCTAGATTGGCCCAAAGCCATTGTCCTTCAGAGAGCCCAACCGTACTGCCGGGTTACAACTTAGGTTGTAAGGCACGACCAACGTCCCCGCCAGATCCAGATCCTGACGACAAGATTAATCGTAGTGATTGCGTTGACCTGCCTTTCAACTCTGTTCCTGAACAAACCGGAGTAAGTAAGGAAGCTAAACCTCATGGTTCAAGATGCCAGCTCATCAACTATGATCCTGGACAGAGACCATCACAGGTCTCACCTTGAGATTGAACATGGCCCGTTGAGACTCCCAGTCTCCCAGTTGCAATTCATAATCACCCAGACCTTCCAAAATCCCTTAATTAAGGAATATACCTTAAATTATATTAGGGATCCAATTATGAATTAAGGTATATTCCTTAATTAAGGGATTTTGGAAGGTCTAATCATCGCGGGGATGATGTCAAGAGAAACATTAGCAACTTCGTTCGCCAGCAGCAATGCCCAAATCATGGCTGTTCTCAGAGAATCTCCGTGCATCGTGAAGTTTAGAACAAGCCGCGTTCGCGCGCTTCCTTGGTGCCGAGCCTGAAACTCATCGAATTTAAACAGCAGCTCAGCAGCTCAGGCTGGTGCCCTAAGACCTAAAGCATCGAGCCTCACCACTAAACCAAGCCCGCGAACATCGATCCGAAAACAAGAATTACCAAGACTAAACTGGAACGTGAAGCTGAAGCAGCTTCCAACCCCAGAACGGCAATCGAAAACCTAGCCACGATACGGACACATCAACCTTAAACTCTAAACCTTGATGCTAACATCGACTCTAGCTGCGGAACTTCAAGATTCGATCCAGATCTAAAGCACTGAAGCCGCGACCCTAGACCGTTAACCTAGACCCCACAGAACCGACCGAGAACCCTACACTCCAGTCCCTATCGGCCCTGGCGAATCGATCCTGCGCACTGAAGCACTAAGGTTTCAAATCATCGCCCGTAAACCCTAGGCCCTCGACCCCGAAGCATCGACGTTAAGCCCCAAATCTAGGTCTGGGAGGAGAAGTTTCTACAGAGGTACCTCGAGGCCGAACTATGTAATTGCCGCCTACGCATAGGGACCTTTCAGCTAAGACCGGACCCTTAACCCTGGAGTTGCGACACTGAGACCTCAATCCCGAAGCATCGGCCCCTAAACCGGAAGCATCGAGCACGGACCCTACACACTGCCCCGAAAGCATCATGAAACACCAGAAATCCAAGCACCAGATCAGCTCAAGATTGAAATCTGTATTACATGCAGACCAACTTTCGTGCAAGTACAGGTAATCGTCTGAGGCTTTAGGGCCTAGGGTTTAGCGCCTCCAAACCCCGCCCGAATCCCACGTTTGACATGCCTACACCTTCACTCAACCTTGTTCAATTTTTCCAGACAGTAAGCCCTAGGCCAGTCACCCTGCTGTAAAACTGCTGAACATTCCCTAAAACCACGAAATCCAAGCTAACCCCAATAAAGCGATTACGGCAACAAACTAAATGCCCTCACCCTGACCTTAAATCCAAAGCAATGCAATCACAGAACCCGACATGAAACGTGTTCGTGCTCTGAGAACTCAATCCCAAGAACATTCCTCCGATCCACCGGCTGTGGGAATTACCGTGCTTGCAGTTCGGGTGTCGGGTTCGGGACTTGCAGCTGTACCAAAAATTACTACAAGTTAACGGTGCAGCCACAAGCACCAAAGTAGAAAGCACACTGAGCATCGGGGTAAATTCACTGCATCCCTGAATCTGAGACCCTTACCCTGCAAGAAACACGCCCAAAAGAAGAAGTCACTGCCGAATCTTGACAGAAGACTCACCCACAAAAAGACCAAACCCCCATAATCCTGAAAATCCCGAAATTTTGACTGAGTAAAAGTCTAGACCCTGCAAGCCCCAAGTTTCAGATCGTCGAGGAAAACACAAATCCCACACTAGCAAGAAGCCCAAGCCCTCCCGAAACGCCCCACAACCTCAAATCCCAGAGCCTATGAAATCCCTACATTCTGTCGGGCAACACAACCTTAAACGTTGCACGCGCCCGACAAAACACTCCAAGTCCTAAGCAACCTAGCAGCCCAGAGCATAACGACTCTCAGGCCCGGGCGCAGGTGCCGAAAGGTGTGAGGAAAGCAGAGTCCTTGCACTCTGTGCCTGGGCTCTTACCAAAGCCGCTCAAGGGTTCCAAAAGATAGTTACCCGGCGTTTCGAATAAACTACGTTTTTGGCGGCTCCATTTTTGAATCTCCGAAGAGGACTTGTGTGCAGGTCTCCAACGACTAGGGATCTCTTACCGGGCGCGAGAGGATGCATTATAGTCAGTTTTGAGCTCTAGAGGAGGATGTCGAGTCAAGATTTTGGGGTTCAGGGTGCACTGAGCAGTGGACTTTTTCACGTACATGTGAAACACTATACCCCAGCCCAATCAAACATCAGTCCAAAACCTCAGGCGGGCCCTCAAACGTTAAAAAGTGAAGGCACCCGAATCCTGTCTCGTCTGTACCAGACCCTCTGGAATTGTGAGGTTCCTTGGAGTTTTATCCCCAGACTCCGAATATACAAACAATACATGCTTTGGGCCGGAGGTCTGTAACGTTGCGTGATGGGAATTAAGTAAGATCCACTAGTCCTTTAACCCTTGACCCAATTGCAAACAACATGATTCTCCAAGATGCCTTCAAAACATTTTCAGCCCGTACTTTCCCGATACCACATCGCAACAAACAGCACCAGTATCGACCTTCAGAATACTAGCGAGTCATGAACCCAACAAGATAAGCATTGGTTCCGAGCTGCTGAATAACTAAAGTAACTAAATGCCAGACCTGTCCTCAACAACATGATATTACATGTCAGAAGCCCTTGTGCGCACATAAGGGTGGTTGTCAAATTAGGGTCCCTCTTTGGGTCCCTATTACAATACGACACCTAATATTTAGGGTACCCCAAAAGGGACCTTAATTTTGACAACTACCCATAAGAAGCACACCGCTTGAACATCAAGTAGCACGCCGAGGCACACTCGTTGGCAGAGTTGCACGTATTGCAGGGTGCCGGACACTGCATGCAGGTGCCTGCCGCGACAGTGAAGAGTTTTAGGGCCTTTGCGTTTCGGAGCTTTGGGGCTAAAGTTTAATCATTTTCGTGCATGCGGTGCACAATGTACGAGGTGTATAGTTAAATCTTTTCGGGTTGGGGAACACAGTAGCTGGGCTTCGGCGTTCGGGGTTTATGACATTCAAGTTCAGACTGAGGGCCTGGGATTTTGGGACTCTGGAAGGAACATGCTGTCTTTGTGAATGGTACTTTCTTTTTTGGCACAGAACAACTCAGATGACTTTCGGCAACCTGTCAGGAGAGTTTCTCAGACATGAAGTTGAGTGGTATGCGACAGCTGGAGGGTCCCAAAATTCCAAGGGTGCAGCGCTTTTGCTTGGCGTGGCTTCTAGATAAGAGCTTTCGGCCTGAAACCATCGGCCGACATCGACACTCCACAGTGACGCTTTTTCAAAGATACGCTGGCCGCCAAACCCTGTTAGAATAAGCCGCGATCCCTTTTTCCCATCTCCACACCCTCTACCCACCCACCACTCCACCTCCCGCCATGTCTGGGTGGTGTCGGTGGTGGCAATGTGGTGGAGTGATGGTGGAGGCGGCGTGGGAGGGGGTAGGGGTGGGCGGTTTGGCCGCCTTCCACTTATTCAAAAGCTTCACCCCCTGGCTTAAGCACAAAGCGCTGAACTTCGATCATTGAAGAGCCTATCCGATTCAAAAAGCGGACCTTCTACGGATCCCTATAACTCATTCCGGATAAGGATCGTCCTTACTATATTGTATGTATATTAGGGTTTCCTATTCTCTTCAACTCCCATCTAGGCCCAAGCAGTCAGCCGCCGCCCTAGAGCTCACATATTGGTTTTGGCTTCGGTCGAACATAAAGCTACGAAACTAACACATACAAGAATCGCAGCTACAAGCACACAATGTCAAAAACATATGATATTCACCATCATAGTAAGACTCGTGTCACTAGTAGACGTACTGGTGCTTTGCACACGTGGAACTAATCATTCTCTCCTACCTGGAGACTCATCTATCCTACCTGGAACCTCATCTATCCTGATACTGATCTTTCTCGTGAAACTCATGAAACCCGGTAATACTCCAGCTGCAAACTCGAAAGCGCTGCAATTTAAACCCTAAGCTCAAAGTTATGCCACACCGAGGCACGGCCAGTGTCAACTGTCTCATCCGGAATGTTCTCATACCAGCCAGCAGGACCTTATCGCTTGGCTTTAGGGCGAGTGGGGTTTAGTAATTAGTGTTGTCAGTGGGTTTGGGTGTCAGGCATCGTTGAGACTTAGAGCTACATTCGGGTTTGCGGGGCTGTATGGTTTTGGGGTTTCGGCATCGAACCTGAGCATCGAGCCTTTATGTCTAAGGGTCTGCTGGTCTTTAAGGGTTGCAAGCTTTTCAGGGGTTGGGGCCAGACTAAACGTTCTATGCGAGTAGGATGTAAGCTGGCAAGGTCCATGGTTTGCCGGCTGCAGTCAACATTCTGAGCTCTAGGATGTATATGTAGGAATCATGGGATCTACAAATTACGGTCGCCACATCTTCAATTTTTTATCGGCCAACTTGGTTCAAAGGCTGATCATGAGATATTTCCGCAGCGCAGCTGGCAGGACCTTGTGATCTGCTCGCACAGGATGCTATATGGTCGTGGGAAGGGAGATATCGTAAAGTACTATGATTCGAAAAATGAAGAAACGTAAAACCCTAAACACGGCAACCTCAGCCCCCAAATTCCACTTGCCAGAAAAAAAAAGCCGTAAACGCTGGCCACAAGTCCCTTGAGAGGCACCAGTTCACGGACACCATCTTATCAAGTAAGAACATGGAACCTGAAAGCTCCCAAAGTATAACAACCCAAGCCTGTGAGCTCTCAAGCCGCAACTGCTGAGCCAACGAGGTCCCCACACGAAGTCTTGCAAGTGCTGCTCGTTGGGTCCAGGAAGTAATTGTTTTTGCACACTTCGCACCTAGATGGTGCAATGTGGCCAAGAAAGGTGGTCCAACATCTGGGATCGTTAAAATCTGAAGATGGCATGTGTGGAGTTCACTATGCTAATAGCAAACATCGCAGAATCTTGTGCATGGACAAAAGAAAAGAGGCCCCACAGCGTTCCTTTCTGTAAGAATTAAGCGATTGAAGATATGGTTCGACAGTTCGGTCTTCAGATCTGTATAGAAACTGGTCCGCCGAGCTCATGTGGGCGCACAAAGCCAGACCTCAAGCCCTGGGACAGGGAGCCTTGCAACATGAAATCGCCTAGGATATATGAGAATCCGGTGAAGTCGTAGGCTAGATCGCGAGAACAGGTCTTTATGATCAGATCCTCAACCAAGTGTCCAGCCCCGGCCAGTACTGAACGATCAGACACAAATCCAAAAGACAGAACAAACAACAGCACTAGGACCTCAGGAATTGTACTGGTGTGTGCCTACTGCCCTCGAAAGCTGAGGAAGCCTTGGATTTTCGGGCATTCAAGCAAAAGGGGTACGGCTACTTGCGAGCGGCCAGCCATAATCGATTACGTTACCAGTCTTGCAAAAGCCGGCAAGTCCAACCAAAGCAGCTCCACATCACGTATCATAACTATGGCTCCTTTAATTACAACCAACGAAGGATCTGAAAAACAAAGCCTGACACTCTAAGTGCTGAACACGAGGGCGCCAGAGCACTCCACGCAGTTGTCGGAACACAGCCTGAAGTTGCAAACTCATCGCGCAGTCCCCCTGGATTTCGTGGTACGTGGGTGATGACGCCCACCGCATCTGGAAGCCGTTGCGCGAGGCAGGAATTTTCAAGGTTGCACTTGTTTTTGGTCTCGCTCCATTGTCGCACTATGCCGACATACACATAGCCGCTGAAAACATGTTGTGAATAGTGTGACGTAATAGAGGCTAGTTTTAATTAGCACGAAACACCTAACGTCTATTGTGCTGTGCTCTTTGGTGGTCGGCTTCGAATACTCCATAGCTGCGGAATCTCTTGTTCCGGAGTCTAAGCACGAGCATGTTCAAGCATGAGCACGTCTCCCGAATCATCCGGATGCCTTGTGCAAAAATCTGCTTGTGCAGGCTGCCTTTAACTGAATCCTGGACCAGCCTAACCACACACAGCGGAGACGTTGTGAATGCCTGAAATACCACTGCGAGCATCTGCTCTACAGCGTGGATTGCAGGTATTGGCCAAGTAGAGAAGCAGTCTATCACTGCAACTTTTGGCCCAAGCACACCAGCCCTGACACAAGGCACATCTTGATATCAAGCACTGGCTTTGATGACAACCGAATATAATGAGGTATGACGTCTATGACTGCCACTTCTTCGCGTCCAGATAGATGTGCAGTCTGAATTCTCCTGCAAAGGGATCTTCATAATCTTCCCACCGAGTGCATCTCCCCAGAGTGTTGAGGCACGAAATGCGCTCACATTATCAAGCATGCTTCCAGTATAATGCGGTCGACATGCGAAACAAATGTTGAGAATGGGGAACCGCTGCACTCCTCTAGTGGGGCGGTGGGTGTCTGTGCAGACGCATGTATAGGAGATACTTGCTGGTGCTCCGTGCAAAGCAGCTGCTTAGCTCCGTGTGCAATGTATATATTTCACAAATCTGGAAACCTGTCTTCCGCTTATGAAAGGATGAAGGTTTTATGACAACCCGTCTTCAGCTTGCGAGTAGCCACACCAAGAATCTTTAATGGATGCTTGCTATGCTTGATGTTTTGTCCACAAGTCTCTGCATTGCCAGCCGTACAGATGCTATGAGCAAGTGACGTGGAGGTACCCGCGGAGCAGAACAGACTTTGCTTGGCAGACGGACAGCAGCTTGGTCGGAACTTCCGATGCCAGCTGTGCCATGGGCTACAGGATCGGACTTACGGACGTTCAATGTCGCGCTACTCAACATCGATACCTACAACCCCATGGTGCCACATGCACAGCCGGATGAATCATGCTACCTTAACGCCCACCAGATCCCTGAACAAATTCGCCGAACAAGACTGCAGATTGCAGACTCTCATTCACCGGAGGTGGATCGCACGACTGCTGGCGGCTACTTCACCAAACACCTCGACTAAGGTTGCCTCGTCATCAGCATCGCGAAGATTAAACGCGATGTTCCGTGCTTGGAAAACGTGCCCGATTTGCTGCAAGGCTGGTAGAGTGTTTTCGTCGCCACCCACAGCAACACAAGTCAAGCCTTTGATCCGACCTTCGAATGCTGCAAGAAGTGCATTGAGTGCTGTCTCTGGGAACTCCGCCTGGCCATCTGTCAAGAACAGAATGAACTCCTGAGCAACAAATCTGCGAAGAGGTGTCGGTGTGGGTTCAAGCGGCCATTTTTGAAGTACACAAGATCTCCTACATGTTCTCTACACCATGCAAAACGGAGTGCAGTAAACGATTCGCTGCAGGCTTTGCCCCCGATGCAACGTTTGGTGAGAGTGACCTGCCCCGGGCCTTCCGAGCCCGCGGAGGTGTGGTTGGCAGCTGGATAGGCTATTTCTGGTTGTTACATCTTCTGGCTGAAACGTATAGCTGGACCGGGCACCCCCGCCATGCCTTCCTTTCATCACACAGGCATCTGAGACAACAGCCAAGAATCTGGAAAGAGGATTAAAACAACCACAAGTTCTTCCTAATGATCAGCATCCAGGCCAGCACAATCGATACAGCTGCTTCTTGCAGCCGCAGAGCATGGGTGTCAGATGCAGATTCTTGCATCACCGTGTGGCACGCCTCGAAAGCGCGACTGAAGTTGGTCCCACCTGTTTGCAAATTAGGCGGAGTGGAGACCGTGTGTAGGGTGATGGCCGCTCAAACCAGCAACAAATCCTGCGGCACTGTGCGCTAGACTGTAGTGGCCTTCAAGAACAAGGCCTTTTCAGAGAACTCGCACATGACAGCGCGCAAAGCTCTCAACTGCTCAAATCTCAGCCAAAGCATCCTCGGTTTGTACCTTTCACTTTTCACGGCCTGCACCGCCTCTCTGACAAAACCGAACGTGCCAATGTCTAGGTTCTGTCGCAGCTTCCCAACCCTTTGAACTCCTGGCAGGCTACCTAAGTGAAAGGTGGCCCAGGCAGGATGCTAGTTGTCAGGCAATCTATGTTGCACCCAGCAGCTAGGACATCTATCTGACTAGCAGCCTCGAAGAGGGAAAGCATGATGTCCAATGTTCGCAAGATAAGCCAAGCCGCTCCACTTATGCCCTTTCCAACATGCTGACTTGAAGATAAAATCCGCGCCGGTTGTATTGCCTACGAACCCCGTTTGCCTGCAGGCATACAATGCGTTCAAGGCTTTTCGACTACTTGTGGGCTCACCTTGAGCTTGATGACATGAAATATCCGGAATGTCCGATGGCCGCGTCTGCTGCGAGATGACCTGCCGACAAGCCATCGGAACAAGTCTGGAAACACACACCTACCATACATCTGTGCAAATGTGAGGAGCCACAATCCTGGCCTGGGCAGAAGTTTCGAAAAGGATGACCGATGCGCGGATGTGGCTTCCCTTCAGCTCTTGCGCACACAGCTCCTTCTGAAAGTGGTTGAAAGCCTTGTTCATCTGTCGTTGGTTTCTTCCTGCCATGGAGCCCGAGGTGTCCAAAATGACTGAATAATGTATGTTGATGTTGGCAGACTGTTCGTTGAGGCTTGCCAGCTTTCTCAGCTTGTCTTCGACCGAAGCATCATCTCTGAACACCAGCTTTTCGAATGATCTTGTCTGTTGTTCATGGACGGAAGATGTCTTGCGTCTTTGCACTAGCCCTGCCATCTTTGCCACTGTCTTTTCATGCTGCTTGTCTCGCAAGATCTTGAGGATCGATGATTCGACACCTCCCGTAAGCGTTTCCAGGTCCTGCTCCGTGAAGCCCATCTTGGCAGACAGCTCTTCAGCGCACAGAACCTGCAGGAACTTGCCCTTTTTTCCTTGACGTGCTGTTCGCCCTTTGAGCTGTCTCTCCTCACTGATGAGGCTGGACAAGAACGTTTGAATAACAACCTCAGCAACTGCGCAAGCAAACGATGAGCTAAGACACTGACACGCATTTTGCAAGCTGGCCACGACTGTGTGCCCATCGTCACTAGGCATCTGGAAATCGATGCCTCTGCCAAAAGCGCGCGTCAGCAGTGTGATTTGACCACTTGCTGTGGCCGCTGCGATGTAGCCACTCCTCCGCTTGAGATCAGTTTGCTCGGTGAGACATTCCGTCTTGCGCCACGATGGATACTTCGCGAGATTGCGGTGGTTCTTGAAGAACACCAATACCTTCGTGCAGATCACTAGTTAGTCCAACGCGGTCCAATTTGATCACACTTTTTCTTGGTGAGGGCAAAGGGCATGCTATCCTCAAACACGCAAGCCAAATCACATGTTCCCAAAACTGGAATCCCCCCGACTGCGAAACGCTTTTCCTGCCTTGCATCTATCCACAATTCCGAATGCAGATGCTGCGTTCCGAGTCCTGATGAAGAATCTAAGATGCACCACCTCCTGTGATTGGTTCGGATGGCCTGACCAACACCAAGCGGCAGAGTTGCCAGCTTTGCTCTCCTGACTTGCAAGAGCTGCTATCCTCGACATCCAATCTTGCTCATTTTTCAATACCTCACTGTGCAGGAATCAAATAGACTTGGACGCAACGGAATTGCACAAGCCGAATAGCAATGCTCGCTTAACACTGCATGTACAAGAGCCAAGGAAGGCACCGAAACATGCTCCACTGGTCTGAAAAGAAGCTGACTGGTTCCGAAAATGGATGGCAGGTATGTGAAGTGATTGATCTCGTACTCTTTCTGAAGCATGTCTTTGAATTCCGGAATGTCCCACAGCTCCCTGAGGGTTCCCGTGACTCCCAAAATCAAAGAGTACATGTTCGGCAGGTCCGCGAAGGAGAAGCGGCCACACAACAGGTCGATGCCAACATGCGGCTTCACTTGTTCTGCCGCGAGCTTGCCTGTCTTCTCAAAGTTCAGATATGCGAAGACGGTCTTGTTGGCGTGGCATATTTCGTAATTTACATCATCTCTGTCCTTGTAGCCAATGCGCGATTGAGAAGAGTCAAGGAACGGCTCCGGCTTGTTCCACTCCTGCACATTGTCGGCCAACTGAACCGCCACGCTTGCCAAGGCTCGATGCAAAGCCGGCGGGTAATGGCCCACCAACTCCTGTTCACAACGGTTGTGGCCATCCACTCGACTAAATAGCACATGTCTAGTCACAACGTTTACAAACAACAAGTCACATGCGACCAGCAGCTTTAGCAAGAAGGCTCCTTGAACGCCTTGGAAGCAGTGATGTTCATCAAACTGCTCAGGCGTCCGTTGGAGAACTCTGCGAACACGAACCGGACCAAAGCTTGGGCCTTGCACCGCGACAAATGTACAAGAGTGTCGTGTGGCGAAAGACGCCAGCGACGGATACAAGACCACGTGCGTGTGTGCAGTACGAACTTGCAAGACAGCACAGCTTTCACACTGCTTTCACTCCTGCCGCGGCAAGCATGACAGTAACATCTTCGCTCTCTGGTAGCTTCACATGAACCAACACAATGAAGTTGAATTCGTGGCACGCCATGCTACCAAATGTGGCTAGCGGCTTAACTACTAGATCGATGACCCGGCTTGAAGTTCGCAGCTTTTTGCCGGCATCTGTTCTCATTTCCGGACATCTTGCCCAAGTGGCCGCCACCCACATTTGCAAAAAAGGCTAGGAAAGCTCGGGAAGCTGCTTAATTATGGAGTAAATTTTGACATACAGAAACACTATAGGAACAAGAAACCTGCGGCGAGACCAGCTTGAACGCACCGTCCCACGTGTGGCCATAGAACTTGCGACTGAAAAGAACATCGACTTCATCAAGCAGCAGCGCGCGATGGCCCAGCTGGAGTTGATGCCTCTCAGCAATACACTTGTAGACATGTGATCCTGGTGCGTGTGTGCGCGCGTGTGTGTGTGTGTGTATGTGTATGTGTATGTGTGTGTGTGTAGGCGCACACGTCTTCACTTGCCTGGCCACGCTGACACTTTGCTTCTCAACCAGCTCCGTGGATGCCTCGCAATCAAACCCGTGCATCATGCGCACCCAACGCCAAACCAGATTGCAAACATGACACTGTATCGTCTTTTGGAACCATAGGCATGAGGGTGCAATACACCCTGCATCTCATCAGCACCCACATAATGAACAGCAACACCAACCTGAAGCACACCATCATCACCATCTTCAACAACCCGTGACGCAATGGCGATGCTCAGCTGGCTCCATATTGTTCTTCAACAACATCACCTTTTTTGACAGCCTGTTACCTTCAACACCGATTCAACACCATCCTGCAGGATGCAGTGACGGCACCAATTGCAAAGTTAGCAGTCGCAAGCAGGAGCAAACACGGCAGCGGTAGAGTTAGGCCTGGCCACGGCAACGACCTAGTAGTAGCAGCAGTGGTTGCAGCGGAAGCAGCAGAAGACGAAGTAGTACTCATAGTTTTAGTAGTAGTAGTAGTAGTAGCAGTAGTAGTAGTAGTAGTAGTACTAGAACTAGTACTAGTACTAGTACTAGTACTAGTACTAGTACTAGTACTAGCACTAGCACTGGCACTAGCACTAGCACTAGCACTAGCACTAGCACTAGCACTAGCAGTACTAGTAGTAGTAGTAGTAGTAGTAGTAGTAGTAGTAGTAGTAGTAGTAGTAGTAGTAGTAGTAGTAGTAGTAGTAGTAGTAGTAGTAGTAGTAGTAGTAGTAGTAGTAGTAGTAGTAGTAGTAGTAGTAGTAGTAGTAGTAGTACTAGTAGTACTAGTACTAGTACTAGTACTAGTACTAGTACTAGTACTAGTACTAGCACTAGCACTAGCACTAGCACTAGCACTAGCACTAGCACTAGCACTAGCACTAGGACTAGGACTAGTAGTACTAGTAGTAGTAGTAGTAGTAGTAGTAGTAGTAGTAGTAGTAGTAGTAGTAGTAGTAGTAGTAGTAGTAGTAGTAGTAGTAGTAGTAGTAGTAGTAGTGATAGTAGTAGTAGTAGTAGTGGTGGTAGCAGTAGTAGTAGTACCAGTAGCAGTCGTAGCAGTAGTAGTAGTGGTGGTAGCAGTAGCAGCAGTAGTAGTAGCAGTAGCAGTAGTAGTAGTGGTAGTGGTAATATCAGTCGTCGCAGAATCGTAGATTTAGCAGTAGCAGTAGCAGCAGCAGTAGCAGTAGCAGTAGCAGTAGCAGTAGCAGTAGCAGTAGCAGTAGCAGTAGCAGTAGCAGTAGCAGTAGCAGTAGCAGTAGCAGTAGCAGTAGCAGTAGCAGTAGTAGTAGTAGTAGTAGTAGTAGTAGTAGTAGTAGTAGTAGTATCAGTAACAGTAATAGTAGCTGTAGCAGTAGTAGTCGCAGCAGCAGTAGCAGTAGTAGTAGTTGTTGTTATTTAGTAGTAGTAGTAGTAGTAGTAGTAGTAGTAGTAGTAGTAGTAGTAGTAGTAGGTGGTAGTAGTAGTGGTAGTAGTAGTAGTAGCAGCAGCAGCAGCAGTAGCGGCAGCAGCAGGAGGAGGAGTAGTAGTAGTAGTAGCAGTAGGTAGTAGCTGTGTTGTTGTAGCGGCAGTTGTTGTTGCGGTGGCAGTCGTGGTGTATCGGTGGCAGCGGAGTCGTGGTAGTAGTGGTAGCACTGGTAGTAGCGGAAGTGGTAGCCGCAGCGGTAGTGAAGCAGCAAAAGAACGAGCAGTAGTAGGTAGTAGCACTAGCAGTACAGTAGCAGAAGCAGCTGCAGCAGCAGAAGTAGTAGCACCAGGATTGGTAATAGCGGTAGCAGGCATGGGTGGAGAGAGCGAAACAGTCGTGTCCGCTGCTGTCGTGGGAGGACGAGTAGAGTCTCATTGCCGTTGGTAACACTGCGAAGATGAAGTGCACAATCAATCCGAGTGATAGCAGAAGCCAGAACAGGCAGTATCGCCAACGTTGCCAACCTGAGCGCTTCCATCCCATCATCATTACCGCCAACAACACCACTCTCATCGCCACCACGGGATTCACCGTCCAAATCATCACCATGGCATCTGAATTCTGTTTCACCATAAATGTCTTGTGTCGCGCTAGTCAAGATCGAAAAGATGCCGTGTGCCTGCCGGACCTACCGCCGTCTAGGCTCATACAGACATTGCTGGTAATCAACATATTGTATGTCATCTGCCCTAGAAACTGCATGTCCAGTTGTCCCCTGCCTTGGTCAAGTCGCCAAGCCGTTCACTGCAGAGCTGGTCAAGTGTACGGTAGCGAATTTTGTCCTACCACGATGCAATTTGGCGATTCTCATCAAGCTACTGTTCCAGCCGTTGCACGAACACATCACAACATATACCTGAAATCAGCGATAAGGGCAGACGAGTTCGACATCTACAATCTCAGCTATCTACGCACAGCGTCATTGGGCAGTGTCTGAAAGTGGGATTGCACTGACATTGCAACTGCAGCGTTCACCGCACGAGACCTCACCACAGGACATTGTCAGTGACAGCACGAAATCGTGACCGGTCCTTGATGTCGAGGAACTCGAAGAAAGGAAGCATGGCCTGATGATCCTGATCCGTCAAGATTTGCCTGCAGGGAGAGTGCAGGTAGAAGAATACGCGAAGCTCCGAACTTCGGGGAAGCAACAAACACGCCCTGGGATCGTGCTTGGAACTTTCGTCTCTCATCGGATACCAGCCAATTATCACAGCCCTATTGCTGCTGTACAACACCGTGACTCTGCCCTTCTGCCGCGATGAGCAGATGAAAACAACATCAGTGACGAAACCGAAGAATCGAACCAGCCTACAGGGCCTACAAGTAGCTGGCACATCTTCCGTGCATGTGAGAGAGCTAAGGAAAATAAAACAGGAACTTGTGCAGAACCTGTAGCACACGACGTCGCTCTCGATGCCGTTGACTGCAAGTAGCGCGGCCAAAAGCCCCAGAGTCAAACACTTCCCTTCTCCAGTCTGTACTTGCGCAAGGTGGTTCATGTAGATCCTCTTGTTGGTCTTGTCACCTGAGCTGCTTCAGAGGGCAAGCTGCTGCAAAGCTGGTGAAAAAACGAAGCTGACAACACATCCCAAGCAAGATCTTCCGAGTAACCTCTTCGGCAAAACATTGCTGGCCAGAACTTTCGCTTGGATGTCTTGTGAGCAACTTGCAAAAACCGGAGGACAGTGAGAATTTGCGCCCTGTGCGGGATGACAAGCATGTCCTGCTGCGACTGCACTGCAGACAGAAAGAATGCCGACCCAGATTTCACAAGTGTGTAGCAAACCGAGAGGTGCACGATCACTGCTAGGGTAGAGTCGTCGTTCTGATCTTGCTTGCATTGCTGCACTGCCATGTCCAAGTTTTCCTTCGCCTGCTTTCGTGCAACATCTAGGCAAGCTCCAGTTTGGTACAGGTACTTTTCCAGAAGATCTTTCGAAGCCGACTCGTGCGCTGTCAAGGCCTGCTCCAACCACTGCTTCTCATCTTCGCCCAATCCAGATTCGTCAGACAGACGACTGACTATGCTGTTCAAGTCATGGGTCTCACCAGCTCGTCGAAACGAGATGTTACGTTCTTCCTCGTTTGCCGCACCGAAGACGTCCTCGTGCTCACCAATGATAGCTTTTCCTATTGGTGTTGTTGCGAGCTGGCTGCCACACACATGCATGCCATTGACCTTAGAATCATCGGCATCGAGTGCTCACATCAGGTTCTATGGCATGAATCTCGCTCGTTTGAAGCTCGATGGACTCGATGGACATTCCGAGACAAGTAGAGCAGCAAGAAAAACAGCTAGATTCGCTAGATTTTTTGCGTGACGCGCTGCGGGGCCTGCAACATCATCGAATGGATGTCGGCAGAGCTGGTAAATTATTGTCCCTACTTGCTGGCTGCAACTTCAATGCAATTTCTCGAATCCCTCCACTCCCGCAGCTGAACTTACAAGCCGGGTGACTCCAAATTCAGCCAGGTTCTGCAAATGATGTAGGGCTGCAGACAATGATGATGTCACCCACTCATACGTGTCTGGGGCATCGAAAGCCACTTGACGCAACTCAGTGCCTAGGAGGTGCGCGTTAGGGCTCCAATACAACATTCCAAAAACTTATGTAGCATGACATGTCCAGCTGCTCATTTGTTTCCAAACATTTACACAAACATACACATGTGCATGTGTATATGTGTCGGTCAATGGTGGTAGTCGTAGTACAATAGAGTAGTAACGGAGAGTAGTAGTAGTAGTAGTAGTAGTAGTAGTAGTAGTAGTAGTAGTAGTAGTAGTAGTAGTAGTAGTAGTAGTAGTAGTATAGTAGTAGTAGTAGTAGTAGTAGTAGTAGTAGTAGTAGTAGTAGTAGTAGTAGTATAGTAGTAGACGTAGTAGTAGTAGTAGTAGTAGTAGCAGTAGTAGTAGTAGAAGTAGTAAAGTAGTAGTAGTAGTAGTAGTAGTAGTAGTAGTAGTAGTAGTAGTAGTAGTGGTAGTAGTAGTAGTAGCAGTAGTAGAAGTATCAGTAGTAGTAGTAGTAGTAGTAGTAGTAGTAGTAGTAGTAGTAGTTGTAGTAGTAGTAGTAGTAGTAGTAATACTAGAAGTAGTAGTAGTAGTGGTAGTAGTAGTAGTAGTAGTAGTAGTGGTAGTAGTAGTAGTAGTAGTAGTACTAGAAGTAGTAGTAGTAGTAGTAGTAGTAGTAGTAGTAGTAGTAGCAGTAGTAGTAGTAGTAGTTGTTGTAGTGATAGTAGTAGTAGACGTAGTAGTAGTAGTAGTTGTAGTAGCAGTAGTAGTAGTAGAAGTAGTAAAGTAGTAGTAGTAGTAGTAGTAGTAGTAGTAGTAGTAGTAGTAGTAGTAGTAGTAGTAGTAGTGGTAGGGATAGCAGTAGTAGTAGCAGTAGTAGTAGTTATTAGTAGTGGTAGTAGTAGTAGTAGTAGTAGTAGCAGTAGTAGTAGTAGCAGTAGCAATAGCAGTAGTAGTGGTAGTAATAATAATAATAGCAATAGCAATAGCAATAGCAATAGCAATAGCAATAGCAATAGCAATAGCAATAGCAATAGCAGTAGCAATAGCAATAGCAATAGCAATAAAAATAGGAATAGGAATAGAATTAGGAAGAGTAAGAGTACGATTTAGAGTAAGAGTAAGAGTAAGAGCAGCAGCAGCAGTAGCAGTAGTAGTCGTCGTCGTCGTAGCAGTAGTAAGCACCCCCTCCCGACTACATTTGCTCTCCATTTTACGCGACCGTCTTTTGCAGCCTCAAAAAACCGACAGGTTGATTTGCAAAACTCGATCAGAGCTGTGTTTTTTTTGGGTGGGGGGGCGTGGGTGGTGGGAATGATAATGATACTGTTACGCAGACACCCCGGACAATGTCTCCAAAACTGCCATTATACTTGGTATTTACAATACTTTCTTGATGTCGGGCCATCTTACAGTAGAAACTACAAAGTTGGAATAGCATTATCCCGATGCCTTTTAGGTAAAACATAGGTAGCACGAATCATCCTAAATCTCTGTTCCAACTTTCTTGGGTGCACTATATGTAGTCTCCAAATCTGCTTCTGGATTTTGCGAACTCGAGCTTCGGATTTCGGACGGTTTTAAGCGAAAACTCGACATTGGGTGAGGGGGAGCTTTTTGGGGGGATGATTTCGCGGACACCCCGAACAATATCTCCACACCCTGGTGCACGCAAGCCACACATTACTCCAACAGAAAACCCTCCTACGCCGAGGTCTGGGCCTTAGGGGTGTTGTCGAGCCCCTCCTGCGTACAGCTGGCATTTTTGTTTTTGATGCTTATAAGATATTGCGCGTCAGGGACTAGGAGTGTTAAAACCTTCTTGGCAGCACCTGCGTTTTGCATGGTACATACAGTTTCGTACTATCAGACCACCTGTGTTTTAGCAAGTTCTGCCCCGTTGAGGATGTGACGGTTATTGACAATGAGCATCTGCAATTTCTGCAGCTTTCAGAAACACGGTGAGTCTGAGACCTTGCATTTTCTGCAACTGTCGCAGTTCGGGAACCTAGAAGCGCCGTAGCAGTACTAGTAGTTGAACTAGTCGTAGTAGTGGTAGTAGTACTAGAAGAAGTAGTAGTAGTATTAGTAGTAGAAGTAGAAGTAGTAGTAGTAGTAGTAGCAGTAGTAGTAGTAGTAGTAGTAGTAGTAGTAGTAGTGGCACCGGCCTAGTAGTAGTAGCAGTAGTAGTAGTGTAGTAGTAGTAGTAGTTGTTGTTGTTGTTGTAGTTGTTGTTGTAGTAATAGTAGTAGAAGCACTAGTAGTAGTAGTAGTAGTAGCAGCAGTAGTTGTATTGAAAGAAGTAGAACAGGAAGCTCCGGTTGTCGAGCGCGCTCACCTTGCTTGAAGCCAGTAGTACTGTAATCTCGGTGAGCGGAGATGCTTGGCGTGGGGTGATGCTAGGGCACTGGCAGAATGGCACGTTCCTCCCTCGCATGATTTTGTTTACGACGCGCGACGGTGGTGCTGTATAGGCACTGCCGCAGACGAGGTCCGTTAAACTTTAGCCGACGGTGGCAGGGACTCTGCAAGCCTTACCCTACCTTCACCCTGCAGCAACAACACAGTGCAATCGATTCAAATGACGAATCCTACGGCCTGGCCAGCATTTTCCACACTTGCAACAAGCAACATGCATGCTGCATTCATGTTGCTCTTAAAGGGTCGGGTCCCATGTGGGGCCCATGCCTAGCAGTAGTAGTAGTAATAGTAGGAGTAGTAGTAGTAGTAGTAGTAGTAGTAGTAGTAGTAGTAGTAGTATTAGCAGTAGTAGTCGTCGTCGTAATAAATAATAGTAGCAGCAGAAGTACTGTAGTGGTAGTGGTAGAAGCCGGCATTGTCGTTGTAATCGTACGGACACAGGCACATATAGCAGTAGCGGCAACGGTAATACTACGACTTAACAGACGAGGGAAGCGTGTCACACCGAGGCTGCCGAAAGTTACTCCGAGTGCATGCCACACATCCCCAAGCCCAGAATCACAACCACACTGCATGGAAGCTGGGTCGTTTGGACTGGCAAAGGCTGAAGTAAACGTCCAACAGATGTAGATGCTTGTGGAGGTGATGCTGCCAGGCATGCCACGAGTAGATTGACAGCTGCTATATTGCCCAAGAGTTACCCCAGTGTCACTGTCTTTGTCCAGTCTAGACGCTGGCTGCAACAACAGCCGGAACGTCACGGGCACAACGCAAATTGTCCGAGAGCCGGTCCAGAAGATTCTCACGCAGTGCCTTGCCAAGCTGAGCCACAAGATGGCTGGCAGCTCGACACTCGGGAAGCTCGTGGGTAACATTCTGCAAGACTTTCAGCTCAGCATTGAACCTTAGATAAGCGACGAATTGAGGCTACAAGTTCTGACAACCTCCGGAAAGCCGCAAGGTGGAGTGCCTGGAGTACGATTGCAACACTGTCGCGCAGCACGACACACTGACCGTTACACTTGAAGGTATGAGACCTCAGTATCACTGTCCGTATCCATGTGTCCAACCTCGTGTAATCGGGAACTCTGCAAAGTTACGGTGCTGTCATAAATCGGCCGCAGGAGCCCTTTCAGGCTGCCGGTGTGATTTTCGAGTTCGTGGATTGCCGAATCGTGACGTTGGGCAAGGTACTTCTCAATGTGGCTCATGTCGATCAGGCCTGCCAAGGATGCAAGCGACCTCGATATTCTAAAGGCCCAGTCAGGCTTACTTACGATGATGCGCACCTGTCTTCAAAACGGCATCCAGCTCTGCCGCTACACGACAACGCACGCTGATCTCGCGAAAGTCCCACGTTTCGACCGCAACGAGGACAGCTTTGGGTTCCATCAAGCCCTTCATAGCGTCGGCCAGAGACTTGCTGATCCATGCCTGGCGCTGGAAACAATCACGGATTGACAAACTGGCTTAAACAGCTCGGAGCAGGATTCATGGTGTCTGTGAGAAACCGACGTGAACACCAAATCCACTTCGGTCACAGGAAACTCAGAACATGAACCTCAGCAGTCTGAAGGACCCACCCAATCCGCATGACTAGCCGGCACCCTTAGGCCGGAAGCCTAGACCGACCGTAATGGCCCCAACACTAGGAACAGCTAGGAACCAACCAACCTACAAATGTACAAACAGACAAACATAACACACACAAGCATGCAACATAAAACAAACAATAACGCAACTAAACAAACAAGCAAGCAAGCAAACAAACACATTTAATACACGAATAAACACAAGACTACGTGCCATCACAACGCTTGTTTTACTCAATGTCTGCACACGACAGTACACAAACATGTATGTAATCGGATGTCAATGTAACGTATACAGTATCCTTTCCGTAGGTCCACCTGTGTGTCTCTGCAAACATGCTTGCATGGATGATTGTCAACTACGAATGGCAATGCAAATGTGACTACAAGATAGCAGCATCTAAGACCAACCCGCAACGCCTCATCCAACAGAACTCTAACGGCTCCGCAAGCTGCCTGCAAGCCCAGTTTCAGGTCTAGCTGATCTTGCACAGCCTCCTTCTCCTGGAGCCATATGACTCTTGAGGCGAAGTTAGCTTGCCATGAAACTGCTGCAGTCTAATTATAATGTAATAACATATTCTACCCGTCTCCTCTCCGCTGAGGTTCTGAAACGTGTCCAGCCAGAGCTTGACGTTTCCCAGACCTAGTGCACGGCAGATCTGACGGGCATGTGACACCTAGACTTATCGAGCCCGGGGCGGTAGGAACACTGTTGGGAGGCTTACTCTGCTCACAGTCCATCTACCCTATTTGCCCGCGCGAAACCGCAAAACGGACCAATCTTTGAGCAGGGAGGAGGACGTCAACGACATGACGAACCCTCATTGCAGTCAAAGGAGCTCAGGCGCAACGCCTGCAGGTCCAAAGCTTGGATCTCATTGGCCACCTGCTCGACAATGTTCGTCAGGTGCTGCAGAAAGGACTGCACTGCCTTCCGTGAGTGTTCGTGCAGGAATCAAGTGACAACAGCGTCTTCACTGAAGGTGCATGTATGCAAACTTCTTCAGGATCGCAGATGAAACAGTAATATGACATTCAGAGTATGCGAAACTTCAAGAAGCGAACATATTTGAGACTGTGCTACTGCCCAAGAATATGCGCACATGTCACAGGCAAATTCCCACCGGCAGCCTGCTTCGCCTGCAGCAGTTGCCTGACGAGTCACGAGCCTACAGAGTCTCATGCTATGATCCAAGAAGCCTCAGTCGTTACAGGAACACTACACCTCGACATCTCTATGAACACATCACAGTTGCAACTTCAGCAATGTTTCGTGCACTATATCGAACACAAGGACGGGGATTGCTCGATTCGTTTACCGCTTAATGTTCTGGACGACTGAATGTGATCTTAAAACGACCCCGTACTTTATCACATATTCCCTACAGTTCGTCGTCTGCCGCCGGGATGCTGAGGCGTCAGAAAACATGATGCCTTCTTCAAGGGCAGGAGCGAGGCAGCAAATGCAACGAAATCTGCTGCACTTGCGGCCGAGACCGTATCCATCAGTTTCTCTTGGGCTGTCCTTGGCTAAACTGCGATGCAGCGTGCTGCACAGCAAGTGCCACCATGCGTCGTACGTACGGACACTCACGGACCATGAACTCCTCGGGTGCTGTCCTTGCCAACTTGCCATCAAGTGGCGCTTCTATCTGAGGTTTTGCTCGGCTGCATGCTTGGCGAACCCACTGCCAAGTTTCCCTTAATTCGTCGGGTGGGTTGTCGCCTGCCGCTTCTAAGAACGCTCCCAAGACAGAGAACCGCTCATGCA